GCAGTGTCTTGCGAGCGGTTCGTCCGTCTTGTATCTATTTTAAAACCACTTCTGACACCAGTTGTAGTGGGTTCCAGTGACACGGAGACGGTAGAGTAGAGGCAGCACTTATTTATTTATAACAAGGGGTCACACTGAAGGGGAAGCGGCCCCTTCACCCGAATACACTTAGGGATATCCCCCTAGGCTATCTAGCCTAAGCCTATGTTCCCCGTATCCTCCAGCTAAGGGCTTTAGGGGAGGCTATCTGATCTGGCCCTGGTTAAGCACAGATCACGGCACCCCACCAACCAGACCGGCCCTTAGAAGGACGTCGGCTCTGTGGCTTCTGGGGCCGTATCACCGGCTTGCCCTGCCGATCCTAAGGACAGCGGTCAGGGGAGTCCCAGAGTTCTACTTAGCGGGTCTTCCTTCTTCGCTGGTACTTCATTCTTGGCCCCAACACACTGCCCCGAGCTCTCTCACTCCCCGCCCTTTATACCCGCAAACCACTGGGCGGGGCTGTAGAAGCGGACGTGGTTGTAGCCACCTAGGATCACACCAAGGATCGGCTGTACCTCTGCATCTCACAACACCCCTACATAAGCGCTGCGGGGTAGTGGTCAGCTCATACTTTAAACACCGAGGGGCCTCACATTGTAAGCGCTGTGGGGCTTACAGGGGCCTAGGGGGCCCTAGTGGTCAGATCACGGTTTAAGCCCCAGGGGCCCTAGTGATCAGATCACGCTTTAAGCCCCAGGGGCCTAGAGGCCCTAGTGGTCAGCTCACTCTTTAAACGCCAAGGGGCCTGGAGGCCCTCACATTGTAAGCGCCGAGGGGTCTGGGGGAAGTAGTGGTCAGCTCACGTTTTAAACACCAAGGGGTCTGGGGGGGCCCTCACATTGTAAGCACTGAGCGATCCGGGGGCCCTAGTGGTCATCTCACTCTTTCAACACCAAGGGGCCTGGGTGCCCTAACACTGTAAGCGCTGAGGGGCCCAGGGGCAGTAGTGGTCAGCTCATGTTTTAAACACCAAGGGGTCTGGGGGGGCCCTCACATTGCAAGCACTGAGCGGTCTGGGGGGGCCCAAGTGGTGAGCTCACATTTTAAACACCAAGGGGCCCCTCAGGACCCATTGTGGACCCCCGCCCCGGACCCACCCCGGTCCCGCCCGCAACCACCCCAGACCTAACCCGGACCCCATCCTCCTGGACCCTCCAAGGAGACCCGCGGTTCCACCCTGGGTGCCCTCAGGCCCCTCCGGACCTCCCGGACCCATCCTGGACCCCCCTGAACGCCACCAGCGTGGATCCGTTTATAAAAGAGATGTACACATATACCTGGTGAAGTTCTTATGAGGTTGATGGTTCTTCCAGTGTCTTCGATGAGGTATGTCAAATCCACGAGGTGGGATATTTGGGTCTGGGATGTTTATTCTGGGCGTTCACATTGCTCCACTCTGTTCACCAGCGTTCTTCTGGATGTGGCTGAGACTCTAAGGTGACAGCACGATTCCCGGAATGGGGATCAGGATTTCAGTCGGTATTTGGGGAGTCACGGTGGCGAGATGTTAACTACCTCGCCGAGGTCTTGGTTGATGATGTGTAGGTGGATGTCATTGACAATACGTGTAAACTCCCTTGCAGTTTGCGTGATGTCTCTACGAATATTAGGTGGCAAAATGTTCGCTAGAAGAAGGAGATAGGGGATTTGTATCAGTTTCAGTGTTCTGGCTATAATGCGCATTGCAGTTTGGTGTATGAGCTCCCAGACCAGGCTGGAGCGCAGTGACTCTATCATTGACTAGATCAGTGAGATGGCAGCAGTTCGCAGTCCAGTTGCTGAGGTGCCACAGGTCATGCCTGCAAGTTTCCATAGCAGGACGATTCTTGATTTGGTCTTCTATTCAGAGATCTGTCTTGTCAGAATCTAACTCTTTATTTAGACTGGAGGAATCCGATGAGCTATGAAGCTCTTTTTCACAGATGTCCAGAGGGGTGGGTCCCAAAGCTACAACAATACAAAAACCGAGAGCGCAAACTATAGGAAAAGTAAACAAGTCACTAAAAAATAAAGTATGCAAGTGTATACTCTTTGGTTCTTTCGGTAAAGTCACGTGGGGAGAAAAATGAAAGAAAAAATAATATATCACGACGTTTCGATCGTGATATATTAATAAAATAATCCAGTCGTGGAATGGTTAGGGTTTTTCCGCCTGAGGACAACCACTTGTGTTGTGATCGAAACGTGATATATTTTTAGTTTTATTAGATTTTCTACCTATGTGACTTTACCGAAAGAACCAAGGAGTATGGATTCCTGCAGTCATGAAAGCTTAAAACCAAGATATACAAGTGTAGTGTCAGCGGAGCGAGAGACAAGGGTTTTCATGAGGCACCTTTTTTAATACCTTCACACTAAAAAGATCTCCAAAATCCTGAATAAACACAAGATCCAGGTCCGATTCAACACAGTACATAAAATCCGTGATTTAGTTCCATCTGTAAAAGATGCTGTCCCAGACATACAGTACCCGGGCGTTTACAAACTAAAGTGCCTCTGTGGTAGTAGCTACATTGGAGAAACCAAACGACATATCTCGGACCGCATCCGCGAACATAAAGCAGACTTGAAACACGGTAGAACGAACTCCTCTGCCGTGGCAGATCACTGTTATAATTCAGTGGGCTCACATGACATTGACTTCTCCAAGACGGAGGTTCTTTGCAAACCAACCGGCTGCCATGAGAGATTCGTTCACGAGGCCATTCACATATACAAGCACAGAGACAATTTCAACCAAGAAGATGGATTCTGGCTTAGTAACCATTGGAAAGATGTTTTAAGCCATTTCTGTTCTTGATTAATTGTATTTTACGATGACCTTCAGACCGCAGCTCTTTCGCCAGCATTGACTCTTAATACCTCTCACACCACGGTTAATGGTATGGTTTACAACATGGAGTATAATAGCGCCTCGCAGCTGTCTCTCTCCCCCTCCTCTGTTCCGACCATGGATGAACTCGTCCGTCTGAACGGGGCCCGTAGCTATCCGTGTTGCTAAAGTTGAGGGTAAGAATCCACCCATTTTTTCGCCATATAGCATTGTGATATATAACGACTTATTGTTGGTAGCTTAGCTGATTGGAGAATATAGAGTTTATTGATAACATTAAGGTAATTTATATTTTAGTTTTTTTTATTGGTTCACTATATAGTACTGTGAATAGCTCAGATGTGTAGGCCTTGACTTCAACATAGCCATTTCTGTGACCAGTCACTAGCTAATCACTCAGTTATTTCAATGCTAAATTCGCCTAGTTATTTCAATGCTAAATTCTCCTGTTTGATTTGTACTAAGTGCCTCGGTGAATGTGTATGCTATGACTTTAACATAGCTATTTCTGTGACCAGTTACAAGCTAATCACTCACCTATTTCAATGCTAAATTCTATGCTAATTCCTTTGTCAAGGGGTGCCTCTGCGGATGTGTATGCTTTAACTTAGCTATTTCAATGCTAAATTCTATGCTAATTCCTTTGTCAAGGGGTGCCTCTGCGGATGTGTATGCTTTAACTTTTAACATAGCCATTTCTGTGACCAGTCACAAGCTAATCACTCAGCCATTTCAATGCTAAATTATATCCTAATTCCTTTGTCAAGGCGCTTTGTTTCCTCTCACACAGCTTAAAGGTCGTGATGTGAACGTGGCTTTTTCACTCCAGCGCTGTCCTACCAGACAGTCTCGTCCCTTCACCGAAAGAACCAAAGAAGACCTTCACACTCATTGTTTTTTTCGGTAAAGTCACGTATGTAGAAATACAATAAAATTATATTAAAACAAAAAACAATCACGACGTTTCGATCACAACGCAAGCGATCTTCATCATGTGTCAAGAACAAATCACGGAGGTAAATACAACAAAAAGATGAGAGACGAGAATTCAACAAACCTGAAAAAACATTATGTGAAGCACATCCAGTCAGGCCAACAACACAGTTAGACACTTCCTGGCGGACCACGAATTTCAGAAGAGTGTTAAATTTCGTGTTCAACCTTTGGATTGCACATACCAGCATAGATACCTCGTATTTTTCATTCTATCTATGCTGGTATGTGCAATCCAAAGGTGATTCTGTGGAATGAATGTGATTGTTATAATTGTACTCTCCATTTTGCTTCGTTCTACTACAAAGTTTCAAGTATTTTTATAGTTATAATTACTTTTAATATTTTATAATTATAAGAGAATTTCAATATAATATTCTGAACATCTGCAGTTTTAGTTAGACGTTGATGTTCTAAAGATGTTCTAAATCGAACCAAACATTAAACCAATTTTTAATGGTACAGTTTATTTATTCTAGTAGTGGCACTCCAAACTTCCAAGGTGGTGTATTATCACCTTATGCTAATTCCAAGCTTGTCAGTAGTACGTTTTATGCTAATTTCCTTTGTCAAGGCGTTTGCTGTTTACCCCCTCACAGCTTAAAAGGAGGCGACCAGCGCTTGGCTTTCTTCACTCCAACGCTGTCCGCTGGACAGTTTGGTCCCTTCACCTGATGAAGGCCACTTATGTTGTGGCCGAAACGTCGTGATTTTTGTTGTTTTATTTTTTACCTACGTGACTTTACCGAATAGAACCATAGAGTATGAATAATTATAGGTGATTGCGGGTTCGTTTTTATTGGCAAGTTAGATTGGTGTGATATGATGAATCTCTTGAGCAGTTGTTGAAAATAAGATTTCCCTTAATTATGTTAATGTGATTTGTCTTCGTAAATAAATGTTTAAATCTCAGTTTTTCAGGTTAGGCGTTCATTGGTTAATAGTACGTTTATGGGGGTCATCACTATGATGAATTAGTGACACGTTGATTTAACGGATTGTGCGGATTACATTGTCATATTAAATGCTCCATTGATGGAGTCTAAAATGTTGAGAGATGTTCGCTGCAATTATGACTTGTGTTAACAAAATGTAGGATGACGTCACTTCATATTCGTTTGAATTTGACGTAACTCCGTATCCGCTGGAGTGTGACGTCACGCTGCGGGGCGGGGAGACGCGGAACTAGCGGGTCGTCCGTGTTTCCGCGAAGACGATCAGAGATCGGAGGTTTTAATATTATTAGGTATAACCCTGTGAGGTGCCGGGGGACGAGGGGAACAGGGGGACGGCGGGGTGAGGAACGAGAGGTTGCTGGAGCGGGGACCGGAAAATAGAGGAGACCCGTGGACTGCAGTGGCGAGGAGGAGGAAAGCCCCGAGCGGCTCGGCCCACGAACGGTGAGACACGCATGGGACCCGGCGGGTGGCAGCTCCTGAACCCGACCCCAGCTTCCGGGTTCGTGTGCACCGCCTGGCAGTGGCGCATGGTCACATAGGCGCACACAGAAACCACTTTCATAATAACATAGCCTTTTGCCAACAAGCAGTGGGCAACTGATTTGGGTAGGTTGTATGCAAGAAGCTGGATGGATTGGTAGCATCGTAAGATCGGGATAGGTGGCGGCAGCGGTGGCGTCTTGGGGGGAGGGGAGCTTCATCCAGCAGTGGATTGATCATAGCTGATGATGAGGATGACTAAAAGTCAGTGGCCCTTCAAAGCAAGACGGCACAAAAGATTGAAGATTTAACGACTGACATTTTCCACCACAAATGTACGATGCGAAAGTGTGGCGCAGTGCTAACCCTTGTGCCTCAAAAGCAAGACGTTCTGGGTTCCATTCCCGACTGGGTCACCTTTCAGTGCAGCGTTTGTACGTTCTCCCCCCCGTTCTGAATCAGATTCTTCCAGATTCTCCGGTTTCCTCGCATAGCTAAAATAAATAAATAAACATAGTGCAGCAGGTATTGGCCAAAACATGACATTCCTGATTTCCTGCAAATTACTCAATTGGCATTTCACATCACAACATTGCTCCTTAATACTTGGCAGGATGCTCTTGAAAAAGTATTGAGTCTCGGTGAGGCTTTGCTGGGTAAACAATCGTAAGTAAAAAATATGTGATGCCTAAAAAAAGGACGGGGAAAACAGTGTAGCTGTGCGTGATGCCTCTGTTGCCTTTGATTGATCATCACAATGTGGGCCTGGTGTGAGGTCCGGTCCGTTATATACGGGCAAGTGAACAATGCAAACGTGAGACAATGACGGCAATTCATATCCCAGAAATGGCAGAGGACGGGTTTATCTACCGTCGGATTCTTTGAAAGAAGGTCACTTGTTACGTTGATAATGCCTTTGGCAATGCCTGACGAGGCGGTGATCTGAGACAAAGTGTTTGCTGCTTTCTTCTTGGTATCGGACAAATCTGCGCGGCGACCGCGGAACAATCGGGAGGTCCAGAGTTAACTCCTCGCAGGTGCCACGCAGTGCGTGTTTCATAAACAAAGCAAGCGGCTCTGCACCAGCAGGAATGTTCGTGTCTCCCCTAATACTGGGGCTTTTGTTTGGGGCGTGGAGAAATGCGGTGTGAGTGTACCGCCAGAGTATTAAGGGGGGATCCCAGACCCTGTTGCATCATTTCTTAGCTAAAACGATGCAGTCTGAGTCAATGTGTGACTCATTGTGGCAGCACCGTCAATCGGTACCCTTTGTCTAAAAAAACAGGTGAGGGGAACGTTTAAAATAAGCGTCTCTCTTTCACCGACGCCTGAGTCATAAATCCCACAGCTAAAGTCTCTGCACGGTATACCAGAGATTCTACGTAGCTGCTTATTTGTATGGTAAGCGCACAAGCCACGAATATCTCATTTCTGACGCACACGGAATGGGGTGGGCATCGTGGTGTCACCTTGCCGATAACTCCGTATGCTTTTGTTGATTTCATCAGGGATCACGGCCCAAACTGCACCACCTGCGACGGCGGCAGGAGCCACTGGCACCCAAAGAGGCGGTTGAGCTCATCAGTCGCCGACGCTCGCTGACCGTGACCCGTGATGACACCGAGTCCCGGTCTGTGGCTCTGCGCTGCCAGTAACGGCTCCAACACCACATGCAGCAGCACCCCCGGCCGACATTCATGGCGTCTCTGAAGTCCCGAGCGGCACCCAGCGAGGGTCCCACAGGGAAACTGTGCGTGCACTACGTGCTGGTACGTCACAAGGTCAATGGCTTCGGGAGCTTGGTCGCCATCAACTCGGTGCTGCCAACGGGACAGGTGCTGCACATCGCCCCAGAGGCGCAGGTAACGTGCATGCCTCTCAGCTCATTACCCCCCAAGATAAAGATGGCGATAACGAGGACGGTTGCTCGCCCCCCCTCAGGGTCCAGCAGCACCGTCACCCTCATAAGCCCCATCGTTGTTGTCGGCTATCGTGGTGCCGCCACCGCCGTTCACCCCAATGGTACGGGTGGGCTTGTGCATACTCGATCTTTGAGCACCGGTGATTTTATCGACATGGCCCAAGCGGAAGACTCATGCTCACGCCAACACCTGCACTCTTCGGCGACCTCTGTGCTGGCATGGTTGAAAGCCTCGCGGCAAACTGCCCCTGCAGATCGGCCGGGCAGTGAGGGTGGCACAGTGCCACCGCTCCCCTACAGTGCCACCCCTGCTGCCTGCACCGCTGGCCACTCGGTGGCTGCGCCTACGGTGGCCTCCTTGGGAAGTTACAGTATCAAGGCCGTGGCGAGTTCCACCATGGTTACGTCTGCAGGCATCGCCGACGACAACGATGTGAAGATTCCTGTGGCCGTTGTGCATCGCGGTGCCGACAAAAATGCTCCCGCGCGGCCTCCATTGCCTCGCTCCGGCGGTGGCGCCATCCCAGCGTGCGACATTACTGCCACCGCATTGCGGGAGGTCACAGTCACAAGGGTTCCAAACCCCGGGCCCTCTCCAGCGGCGAGCACCAAGGGGCTAGGCACCCTCATCGTGTGCGATAACTGGGCCTGCGTCATGCTGACCGAGAGGAGAGGCGTGAGTGGAGACACCGTCACTCATGGGCGGCGTGCAATGGCTGACTTTTCTTCCATCATCGCCGCAGGCGGCGATGATGCCGCACCAGAGGCGAGCGAGACCTCGGAGCGACTCGGTGATATCGATCTCGGCGCTGGACGGCTCTGCAACTCTGCTGGTGTGGGAGTTTGGCACGAGCATGGGAACTCTGCTAGGGTTCTTGTTCATGGTTCCAGGGTCCGAGGCTCGCGAGGTTCGCGAGATTTACCGGCGGACAAGGTGAAGACGGCGCCTTTGATGGGAGCGTGCCGTGCAAGCGGTGCCGGTGGGGAGGAGGTGGAGGTTCCGTGTGAGGAGCAAATGTTGCTCATACCGCCGGACAGGTGGTTGCTCACAGACCACAAGGTAATGTTGCTGTGGAACTTCAGCAGAGAAATATCGTTGAACCACTGGTCCAAGAAGCAAGGGCTGTTTACCCATGCGAGTGGCTTGGAGTGGCAATTTGTGTGGGGCGTGTGTGTTTACAGTGTATGTATGTTTACAGTGCTTGTTTGGCTATGTGTGAGTGGCATCGTGGGGAACTCGGGCGGTGCATCCTTCAACAAACTATCTCGGCCATACAACCCATAACACCTGGGCCTATCCCGTGACCTGTCAGAGTTTACAACATTTGACATGGCCTCAATGTGCACTACTGTCTGGCATAAGTGCCGTGGTATCGCTGCCACTTGTTTGTGTGGGGAGCAGTAGTGCAGTGGTTTTCATGCTGTGCTACAAATATGGTGACCATATTTGTTCGATTCCCACTCGTAACCATCAGTGACCAACATCCCACACTTCTGATTAGTACGGTTGGCTACGTACAGTGCAAAATAACTTCAACATGCATACATAGTGACAATGATTTGAACTGGTCCTGGTGCTCCTCCAGGTTGACTGCTTCAAAAGAGTGCCTGGTGCAATGTATAGAAATTGTAAAAACATCAGCAGTGAACATCAGCAATGGGGAGACAAAGGCGGCCGGTGCAAGCCACACCACCCCCCAGATGCCATTTTTGGCCTTCATAGGGGCTTGCTAACAGCATCTTCCCCATGAATCTGCCCTGCTATAGGGGGGATCTTTGTTGTGTGGTGGTTTTAGGTGCCCCGCGTGATTAAGCCTCCACCGGAGGGCGTCGTGCTGGTTCCGGCCTCGCAATTGCAGACACCCGGCGCCGCTGAGCGAGCCCTGCTGGCACGTGCAGGCATCGCCACAGACGTGCGCGTGTACCTCCTACCCGTGCTGCATGGGAGATCCGGGTCACGCGGTTCCCTGTGCGCCTCGTCGGTCCCGTGTGTTCCCAACACCCCGATGCATCCTCGCCTCACCCCCCACCAGGCCTGGCATCGACCACAACCCCAAGCGGTGAATCTGCAAGAAGTGGTCGGGTTTGGAGGGAGTAGTGGAAATCTTGAGGGAGCAGCTGAGATATGGAGGGAGTGGTTGGGTTGTGGAGGGAGTGGTTTAGATCTTGAGTGGAGAGCGGTAGTGTAATAGTTAGCGTGCTGCACAATAAACCCGGTAACCTGGGTTCAATTCCAGCTCATGGTCAACACCAGTGGCAATTATCCGAACACGTCTTGGGCCTCCCCTAGGTCAACTCGGCCTCAACTGATTACCTGGTGCAGGGTGTAAAGAACGCCACTCAGGAGACAAGGGCGGCTGTTTGTGGTGCTAAGCACCCACCCCCTCGTGTGCCGTGGTCGACCTTCATAGGTGCTCGCTAACAGCACTTTCTCGTACAGTCTGCAAAGGCTGTGATTTAGATCTGGATGGAGTGGTTGGGTAGTAGAGGGAGCGGTTAGGATCTGGAGAGAGTGGTTGAGTTGTATATCCATGTGGTTCATCCTCTGGTGCAAGTGGAACCGCGTGTTCGTATTTGCCTCCAGGTTGCTGAGCGCCGTTCAACACGACTGCAGAGACGCTCCCCGCGAGGCGCGGCACTCCCGTCCCTGCAGCACCAACCGTATCGCAAGCAGCGCTTGGTGCCGTTGGTCGACGTGGCTTCCCTCGGGACGCTGCCACCGTGGCCACGCAGCCATGGTGACGGTGCCAGCCAAGAGACGTGCGAGGCTAGCGAAGGGTCGCCGTGTGGCAGTGGCAGCAACGATGACGTAATTTTCTCCTCCGGAGATAATGGTGCGTGCAACGGCATGGATTGGACAAACGAGGTTTCCTGGGAGGGGGATGTGGGGGAGTCTGGTGGGGAGGCCGGTTCAGCCCCGGATCCCCCCCCCCAAAGAGATGGCCACCTCGCCGGCCGGTCACCACGACGACGCGGAGCGACGTGACCGCCTGGCATTGCTGCGGTTCGCCCTGAGGGAGAAACAAGAGGCTGTCGAGGAGGCCCTGACTTCATCTCGACTGCACTAATCCCTATCCTCCCCCACCCTCGCCCCTCAATCTGCTAGTGATCTAACAAGCTACTGAATGAACCCCAGGGAGCTTTGCTTTAATAACTTATTATTTTGTTATCTCCCATATGGAGAGTCATTGTTAGTTTGCATGCAAAGTGGAGAAAGCGAGGTGATACATCTTCTGAACCAATGCTGACTCTCATCTACCTACGATCATATCACCCGGAATACACCACCAGATTCCATTAGATCTAGCAATCTAAGCAGGTTTCAGTGGATTGTGTGAATGCGTGGGTAGTGTGAAATTAGATTTCAATCTAAATTTAAAAGTGCATAGCTCCAGTGGCTTCCTAATAACGGAAGAGCGTTTCAGATGGCCACAGAAGTGCATCTGAAAGCACGCGATGCAGTGACAGTCTTTGTTCAATGGCTAGCCAAAAGCCGCTGAGAGGATGACCGGAGTTAGTGTGATGGTTTATGCTCCTTGACGAGATCAGCAAGGTATTGTGGTTCATTTGTGGCAAGCGCTTTGTAATGAGTGCGACCTTATGTAATTCGTTCAGCAACCGGAAGCCAATGCGATGGAATGGTGCGCACTGAACTTGCAATCCAAATGTCCCCGGTTAGATTCCACGTGATTGGTTAACAGAAATTGTGATTTGTTAACGGAAATATACCCTGTGTCCTGACTTTTGGGCCCCCCTGCTGTATATGGCATGCTATTTGCTGCCCAATAACTTTTTAATGTATCTTTCATTATCCACATGAGAAAATCAAATCCAGAGGTTTCGAACATGTTCTATTATATTATCAATCACCTCTAAGTATGCTGCATTTCAATGTTGTCGAGTTGCTACTGCTTGTGCCTATTGAATCGACAATAATGTACAGAAAATCACCCATTGTGGGGGTGACGTTTTTAAAGGTAGGCACAATCCGTGATCCACAAACTCAAATGGGAAAACTAGGGTTTGGTTCATGGTTCGTAATACGACACCCACTCATTTTGTTTTATGTTCCCCTATATCAACAAAAACATTAAAGAGAACGTATTTTTATTTAAAAGAAAGATTTTATAGTCTTAAATATAATTAGTACAGTAAATGTATAGAATACAATTTATGTCGTGTACAAAACTCTACGCGTATCACGGGCGGCTGAACCTGACTGCCTCCTTACTGAAGGCTGGGAACACCATGTTACCTGGAACCCGCGATGGGCCGCTTGGAAGACAAGATGTCGAAAAGATGGAGCGTGTGTTCTTATGCGGCAGCATCGTTGCGAGCAATGCAGTTACGATGCTTACAGAAATCTCGCGGTCAATCGCGAATGGTCGAGCCACGGGCATGAACGACGAACTGTACCTAAATAATTTTTGCGCGAATCTGCAAAACTGCGATAACTAAACCCGCCAGAGGGGTTTGCTGCACAGTAATACCCTAATTTATGTCTCTCCTTTTTACGTCCTTTTTGCAAATACGTCGTCACTTGATGAATACCACGACCTGATTTGCGTCGCCTCAACCCACACGGTGCTTACAGCATCCGTCCATTCTCGTATCCGTTACCTCCACCTACCCCTGTACACAAACTACTTTGTATCGTGCATAAAGAAATATACTGTAGAGTACAATATATTGTTTATGTACCTGATTTTGGTGATTTGGAAACATTAATTTGTCGTTTCGATATTCGTCGCACATTTCAGGAAGGCATCCCCGAAATAAACCAGGTATTGCTGTATATGAAACAATTTTAAGTATGTTGAACTTCTTTCACACCCAACGTAGCCAACTGTATGGTCCATTCTGGTTTCATAGTGTGTGGGATGCATTCCTCTGGTTTGGTGGGCAGAGACCACGTGCAACTAAATATCGCATGCTATTCGTTGCTGTTTGCTTTTCAGCAAAGTATTTAACACATTCAACATATCCTAAATTATGGACATGTTAAAGCCATTATTTAATATGTTGCTGACAATTGAGGATATACTAAAAACGTTTCTAAAAACGTTTTTTACTTTATTGCCGAAAAATGTAATGTATATTTTTTTTCAAATATAGCAACAAATATGCCATCCCCTTGGTGTGCGCAAGCAATTGCAGGGCTGCACCTCTACCTCCTTGATGTTAGAACAGTCAATGCAATTCTATACTTATTCGAACAAAAATTCTTGCAATGGTTAGGATCAAGAGGTCATCACGACCACTCCAACTGATACAACCATACCGTGCTATCGCTTCATTCTGCCAGATTTTCCAGCTCGATCGCAGTCTACTTTTGTAGTGTCCCTAAAGAGGCGGTGACCAAACACCCCCGAAGGTCGCTGTTGTGAGGGCCCTTCTGCCAGCAGTGGTAACGCCGCAGCTTTATCGATGTTTACCCCGAGTCTGGCACTGTGGACTTGGCGGTGACTCCTTTATTGCTCTGGGGATGTCGGTAAACAATCTGGTGTCTCTCCCGCTCAGCATTGACTATCGAAGACATTTGTGCCACCCCCTTCATCTGGTTATGAGCTTAAGTAAATTCCACTTGCTCCAACGACAGTATAATATATGCCACCTTAGCGGCATGCTCTTAATGTGCATGAAGCCCCAGGGGCAGCGAGGTGAAATGGAACAATAAATGCCCAGCAGCACAGTGTCTACTTTACCTGCACCAGACAGCATTTGGTGTCGTGAAAATGCCAGACAACACGCAACAGTATAAATGGGTAGACCATAGTCTATTGTGAACATGGTTATACGTGTTTGTGTGTGCGAGTGGTTACACAAGTGTGTGTGTTACAAATCACAGTGCCCCCCCCCCCGACGCCTTCAAACTAAACCGGAAGTCTTACATCGCACACGGTGACGTCCAGGGCTGGGCTCCCCAAAGCGCGGGGCTCGGGCGATCGCCCCGATTCGCCGTACTCGAGGAACGGTTCTGTATGTTGAGAGGTGACACTTGGCTCCGTGTATCCCCGCTCCACCGGTCCCCGATTACCAGAGCGCGGCCACCAGGTGGCGCAGCGCTCCACGGGCCCGAAGGGGTGCAACCCGTGGTGCAAGAGAGTTCAGTGCGTTGGCCGAGTGGAAGGACCCAGGAGGGAGACGGGATCCAGTCATTCAAATGTGTTACAACTCGCTGCTTCCTTTTGTTTTCACAGACATCTGACAAAAAACAACACGTCCTAGACTGCTAGAGTGTCGTTCATTTCCCAATGCTAGTTGAAAGGAATGCGCACCTCCGATGAGCACGGTTGATTATGTCCGGTGCAAAAGAAGTTCTACATGCATCATTGTATCCGCACAAACCTTGGCAGATGCAGATACCTGACGCACAAATGGAAAATTAAAAACCCTCCATTGTCCGACTGTGGTCATCCAGAACAGACCGTACAACGTAACGACGCAATTCCCGATCCGCAAATACGAAGCAGACATTACAGCGATGTACTCCGCTGCTCCTGACGCGGTTGTCTGGGTTGGTTTCCTAAATGTGAAATTGTAGTGACTGCACTGCATCTACATCAGCCATACGAAAGATCAACCATGGTCAATCCACTGCTGGACGAAAGGTCTCCCCAAGACTCCACCATCGCCATCATTATATTCATAGCAGCCGTGGTCAATCCTCTGCTGGATGAAGGGCTTCAACCCCCAAGACGCTGCCACATCTCACGATCCTGTGATGTAATAATCCGCCCTGCATTGGCGCACTGGTAGACACAGCCACCACCATCGCCAATAGGAAATCACCGTCATTTGAATCGTCAAATCTACAGCCGTAGACGCCATTGCGTCCACGATATATACGTGTATTGTATAGACAATATGCGTCCACATTGTATACAAGTTTTGTCAGGTACCTTGGCAATCCACATACACCTTCGCTAGAGTGTGTTTGTGCGACGAACCCGGCCACCTGAGTTATATTCCCGAGCGTGACCAACAGTGGCGGATACCCTGAACCGGTATTGTATCTCCAGTCGGTCACCTCAGTTTTTAAATGAGTACCTGGAACGGTGCGTACGCATCAGCACTGGGAAGACAGCGGCGGTCGGGTGTCGTATTGATTACACCAACCCCTCTCGTGCTCGGTTCACGATTTTAACAAGTGTTCGCAAAAAAGACAGTTGACCCACCAAGTCTGTTGTAGGCTACACGGGGGTTTTGTGCTTTTGTACGCATGCACACATTTATATTGCCCGGCGGCAGTTGAGTCCGACCCCGCGCCCCTCCGTGGCCCCATTCGTCACTCTCCACTCATCACTCCTCACCGCGACTCCGGCCTGGGTGAGTGAATGAATCACGCGGATGAATAAACGAGAGAATGAGCGGGGGTGGGGTGGTGGTGGGGTCCGTGTCCATTGTGCGACGACCAAGGTCAAGTCCAGACACGCGGGCCACTCCCCCCCATCTCCCCTATATCTTCATCTTTCTTCATCACCCCATCTTATCTCTCTCAATCTCTTCCATCTCCACATCTTCATCGGTATTCCCCATCTCCCTTATCTCCCAAATATAATAATTGTTCTTCCATCTTTCTCCATCACCATATTTCTGCATCTTCCCCACCTCCCATCTCTTTCTATCTCCCCCAACTTTCCCTCCATCTCCCTCAATCTTGAATCCCATCTTCCTTCGTCTCCTCTCCATCTCCCCCCATTTCCCCCATCTACATCTCCCCTGCAACTCCCCCAATCTCCCATCTTAATCCCCCCCCCCCATTCCCCTTACTCCCCCTCCCCCCATACCCCAGCCCAGACAATGGGCACGGGGGGAGGCGTGGGTCGTGATGGGCGCATGCGCATTGCGGCGGGGAGCGGGGGGAGGAGGGGAGGGGGGCGGGGTCGGAGTATAAAAGTCTGGGGGGCACGTGGGTGGCGGTCACTCAGTGTGATGTGCGCTGTGCCGATATAACTGACACTCAAACACACACACCGAGACAACATATCTAGGCCGACACACTGAGTGAAACATACACAGACACGACCTAGGCAGAAAGACAAAAACACCGAGAGAGAAAGAAGGTTACAGAAACGTATATACAAGTATACAGAGACAGACACACACACCCAGACACTTACGTCCCCGATTAAACACCCATTTACACAAACATTTCGAGACACAGACTCACACCAGTCCATATATAATCCCATTAAGTGACCTACTGAATCGCTCACCCAATCATCCATTAAGTCACCAACTCAGTGACCCCCGCGGTGGCCCTGCACCCTCCCGTCGGCTTAACCACAGCACTGCGGGGTCCTTGGTCGCGCGGCGGGGCCGTCATGGAGACCGGGACGAGTTCCGTGCGGGACGCGTCGGGTCGGAGCGGAGCACCCGTGCAGGTGAGGCTCGTGACCTCATCACCCTCCACACTCACCCTGACCCTCTCTCACCCTCACATCTCTCACGCATGCCTCTATTCCTGACCGCCCTTCCCCTCATTGCTCTACCCCAAAACCTGCGATTCATGGGATCGCAGCGGTCACTGTGACCCCGATCCGTGCGGTCGCCGGGGTCACAGTCATCTCAACATTGCGCGGTCGCCTCCCAACAATGAAGATTTACATTCGAGTGTCCGTGCGAGTTTGTGTGAGTGTACTTCTGAGTGTGAGTGGGGTAGCGGTAGTGTAGTGGCTAGCGCACTCCGCTACGAACCGGGCGACCCGAGATCGATTTCCGCTCACGGCCAACATCGGTGACGAATATCTTAATCGTTCCTGAGCCTCCCCTAAGTCGACTCAGCATCAAATTAGTACCTGGAATGGTGTGTAAACATCGCCACTTGGGAGACAAAGGCGGCCGGGCGTGGCGCTGGCCAACCACCGCATCGTTTGCCATACCGGTCTTCATATGTGCTCGCAAACGGCACTTGCCCAAAAAGTCTGTTTTTTATATGGCTATACGAGTTTGATTCCCGCTACTTATACACCGCGAGCACCAACAGTCTACATGGCTACACTCTATATATGGTTACAGTCTACATGGCTACACAGATAATCGTTGTTCTTTGTGTCCATGTGTGTGTATTCGAGGAGCATGTGTTCAGGAGGTGTGTGTCTTTAGAATTTGTGTGCGGGGAGCGGTGGCGAATACATATTCGCCACCGCTCCCCGCACACCGCGCAACAAACCCCACCGTACAAAAACTGAACCGGTCATGGGCTTCGACTCATCCACATATTTAATTAAGATCTGGTGTACGCAAACATCAGCACTGGAGAGACAAAGGCGACCGGGCGTGGTGATGGCCACAACAACCCCTGCGTGGACCGTGCCTTGAATTGTGCTCGCTCACAGCACTTGCGGTGCAGGCTACACCGGAGTAGAGGCGGCAGAGTGGAAGGCGGGAAGGGAGACAGCCTCTTGAATGGGGCAGGATGACCGCTCCCTCCCCTCAACCCTCTCCACACTTCTCTCTCCCTCCTCTCTTTTCTCGCGGCGCGGGAAGACGGACGGCGGCGGGATTATGAGCACACGAGCTGCGCCGAGTAGCGAGTGAGCGGTGTGCTGAGTGATGCGGGGAGCGGTGTGCTGAGTAGCGAGTGAGCGGTGTGCTGAGTAGCGAGTGAGCGGTGTACTGAGTGATGCGGGGAGCGGTGTGCTGAGTAGCGAGTGAGCGGTGTGCTGAATAGCGAGTGAGCGGTGTGCTGAATAGCGAGTGAGCGGAGTGCTGAATAGCGAGTGAGCGGTGTGCTGAGTAGCGAGTGAGCGGTGTGCTGCTGAGTGATGCGGTGGTGTAAGTCAGCGCGCTGCGCTACAAACCCGGGTTCGATTCCCGCTCATGGCCAACACCAGTGACGATTATCTGAATCAGTTCAGAGCATCCCCGAGGTCAACTTGGCCTTAAATGAGTACCTGGTGCGATGTGGAAACATCGCCACGGGAGACAAAGACGATCGGGCGTGGTTGCTGGCTATCCACCCCCTCGTGTGCCGGCCTTCATAGGTGCTCGCTAACGCCACTTGCCCCAGCAGTCTGTTAAGGCTAATATTTGATGAGGTGAAGTGATGAGGTGAAGTGATGAGGTGAAGTGATGAGGTGTGATGTGTGAATGATGAAATAATGTGGTGATAGGGAAGTGATGTGGTGACTGTGTGCGTGATGGGATGAGTGATGCAGGATGCTAGTGATGTAAGGATGTGATTGTGTGTGTAGGTATCGCTGTGTTCGCGAGGGCGTGTGAATGTCTTGACTTTGTGTATATTTGCGTGTATGTATATATATAACTGCGTGTGGGGAGTGGTGGCGTAGTGGTTAGCACACTGCAATACGAACCCGGCAACCCGAGTTCGATTCCCACTCATTGGTAACAAATATCTAAGCCGGTTTTGGGCGTCCCCTAGGTCGACTCAGCCGTAAACGAGTACCTGGTCCGGAAAACAAACAGCACTGGGGAGACAAAGGCGGGCGGGCGTGTTGCTGTCCCCTCCCCGTCCGTACGCCTTAATAGACGCTCACAGCACGGGGGATCTTTGTCTTGGTGCGAGTGTGCAGCAGATCTCCCTCACTCCGCTCCTCTCTCACTCCTGGTCAAGCCAAGGATCCAGGGCCGCGCGTTGTGGGGGGCAGGGAGGCCCCGCGGGTGTGGTGGGGGGGGAGCGCGATGGGAGACGCGATAAATAGAGATGATATCATCGCGCCGGGTGACGTCAACCCGCGATGGGACCTGGAGGGAGGGGGGGTGTTGCTAAGCGAATGGCAGGGGGGCCGGATCCCAGGAATGAGCGACAGTCTGAAGAACACCTGTGTGTGGATATCTGCGTACCTTGTGAGTGCTTGTGTGTATGGAGCGGCAGTGCGGTGGTCAGTGCACTGCAGCCAACCGAGGTTGGTTCCCGCTCACGGCAACCAACATTGGTGAATATCTGTGCCCAGTCTTGGATTTGAAGGTTTCAGCAATGACATTTCCAGAGGAGGGAAATTCCACACGCTATATGAGCAGTGCCAGAGAAGAAGCAACCTCCCACTGAGCAAGGGTTGACTGGTGGCTTTGACGGAAAACCTTGGGTTTTGGAGTGGAGAGTGCACGGAGGGGAGTAGAGTGACATGACAGGGGAGAGGCAGGAGAGCACATGGAGGGTAGGGAAGTAAAATTTGAATATGGAGGGGAATAGAGTGAGATTACAGGAACTTGCAGATGATGCATGATGTTTAAATTGATCCGAGACTGGATTTGGGAGCTAATAGGGGGATTGGCATATTGGGGAGATGGGTCATGTTTATTGGTGCGGATGGGAAGTCTGACAGCGGCATTTTTGGTAATGTGGAGGTCATAGATCAGGGCGTTTCAGAAGATGAATGAAAGTGTCGATGAAGGCATGGATATTGGTCTGCAAAAGATGGAGCAAGGAATTGATGGATGTGGGAGATGTTGTACACATGGAGATTAGAGAACCTGCACTCTTCAGAGATGTGAGGCAAAAACGAATTCTGGACCAATAATGACCGCACATTTTCCCAATCCCAGATGTATGTACAGTATGTTGAACGTCTTTTGCACCATACGTAGCCAACCTTGCTAATCAGATGTGCGGGAGGACAACAAACTAAACACAAAAAGCAGAAGAGATTGCCCCATGTATATTGAGGGGGAGAGTCAGTGGTGTCTCATTATGTAGAGCTTGGTGTCATTTTCCAAGTTTCAGTTGATTGTAAAAACCAATGGGAAACCTCATGGGACACCGGGGCAGAGAGATTGCTGCAAAAAGGACAGCACTTAAATGAAGGTGTAGGAGCAGTTTGAGAATTAAGTCCTGAACTAGGAGATGCATACATAGTTATGGAGACGCTTAAGGAGGCTGCAGTGGCCAACAGTGTTGAAAGCAACAATGAGCTTAATGAGAACTGGGAGTGAGAGGGGCAAGCGGTCAGAAGAGAGGTAATTTACCACCTAGGAGAGCAGTTTCAGGTGAATGAACTTTAAATAATCCAAATTGGACTGGGTTGTAAAGAACATGGAAAAATATATGTTCAGTGGGGCGTGAAAATATAAATCTTCACGAGGGATTCTCCAAGGGAGGTTGGTGATTGGACAGTGATGTGTGGAAATGTTGGGTTTCACGTGGTTTTATTGGGGAAGGGAACGACTAAAGGAACTCCCTGTGATGTAGGGTCCTTTTTCTGTCCTCTCAGACTAATGTCCCTGGTCGCCCGTGTCTCCCATGGCTTCCGCCTCTCCGTGGTTCCACAGAGCCCCCGCCTCCTGCTGCTGCTATCCTTGTCGCTGGGCCTGTGCGCCACAGTGGGCGCCGCGCCCGAGACGCTGTGCGGTGCCGAGCTGGTGGACGCGCTGCAGTTCGTATGCGGCCCGAGGGGTTTCCACTTCTGTGAGTACCTGGGGCACGGGTCCCTCTGGAAAAGGGTCGCTGTGCTAGCTGGAATCTCTGTGTGCATGCAAGGGTCCCCATGTGTGTGTGGGGATTCCCGAGTGTAAGGGTCTGCATGTGTGTCCCAAACCATCGAGCTCATGAAGCAGACCGTCCCACTCAAACGTCAAAGTGCTCAAATTCGCATTAAGGAATTACAGCCCTGAGTCAGTGGTGGAAATTCCGCATTCCTATGACGGGGGTGAGTCTCTATATGGGACTCCCCCAAAAAAGGGTTACTCATTTTATAGACCCCCAGAAGCATGATGGGCTAAATCAACCTCCAACCCAGATATGGACTCGCAACTTTCCTATTGAGAACCACTCGCTCTACCGCTGAGCCCCTTGGCTGCGTTCCCCACCATGCGTGTATCTGATAAATTATTAAATAAAAAACATGAAAATGCTAAGAAAATTATGTTATAATATATGTTTAGGTCAGTCCAATGAAAAAGACAATATATTTATGTATGTTGAACTTATTTCGCATCGTACATAGCCAACCGTGCTAATTAGAGGTCCAGGTGAAGGACAACAAACTAAACAAGAAAAAGCAGTTCTAAAAAAATTAGTTTTCAATCTAGATTATAAAGTGCATAGCTCCAGTCACTTCCTAATATCGGAAGGAAGAGCGTTACAAACAGCCATAGAAGCGCATCTGAAAGCTCGCGATGCAGTGACCGTCTTTGTTCGATGGCTCGCCAAGCGCTTTGTGTGTAATGAGTGCAACATTAAAATGTATTCGTTCGGCAACCGGAAAAATCCAGCTCAGCGAGCACTGGGCGGACATGATCAGATCTTGCAGTACAACACGTGTCAAGGAATTTTGTACATGCTGCAGATTGGTCATATTTTCGCCAGACATCCCTTAGAGTAGTGAGTTGCAATAATTTAGCCTTGTCGATACGATGCTGCACACCACCGTATTGGCGATGTAACGACTCAATAGTGGTCGAATGTGTCGTAGAGCCCTGATATGAAAATTGCAGGAGCTGACTATTTTGCACATGGTGATTAAACAGCATTCTGGTCAAGTATGGTACAGAATCGGTCCGGAAACAAAAATATTTGATTCTTGAATTAAAACGTGAAACGTGAATGGCGGTAGTTTCTACAGCTTCATGCTTTAGGCCTCAACGGAATAGTGACCCTACAGGAGGCCTTGTGGTCCCTTCCCATATCCAGCTTCAACTAATTTACACGAGCCTGGAATTGAGACACCTCCCTGGGATCAAGTGCCTTCCTTGCAAGTGAGCCTTGAACCCATGACCAGGTTTGCATAAAAACAACTTCAGTAAAAAATGTTCATCAATTTTACATGAAATGTTTAGATTGGAAAGTAAACCCACGCTGTTTTATGCAACCTGGCCCAGATCCATATTCCCAGGGCGACTCCCATGTGCTACTCGGGGACTGTTGCTTCAACAGAGCAAGTATGAGGGTCAGGGTGAGAGTAAAGGACAGGGTCAGATCTGCAACTGTAGCCCTGACCCCAACCGGCTCCCTAAGCCCAACGCAGTAACCCCCCCCCACCCCCCGGGCCCCACGAGCAGCGTCTCACGGCCATCGCCGCCTCCGCCTGTTCCCAGTGAAGCAGAACGGGCAGAAGAGCGGAGGGGGAGGGGGTGGAGGCGGAGGAGGAGGCCGGAGAGTGCAGCGCGGTATCGTGGAGGAGTGCTGCTTCCGTCGATGCACGCTGCGCTTGCTGGAGTCCTACTGCGCCGACTCCAGCAAACTCGAGCGCGACTACTCGGGCATCAAAATCGCATCACTCAAGCGCCTAATTCGGGTGAGACCCTCCACCAGATCGCTCACTCGGTGTCGTGGGCAGCGGTGACTTCGCTCCGCCCTAGTACAGAACTATAAATAAATGTTCGTGTTTCTGTAACCTAATTTAAATATGAACCGTTTTAGAAGTAATTTGTCAGTCAACTTTCATAACAGGAAACTGATTTTATTTCATTACTGAGCCTCTCTTCTCTCCCTTCTTTTTACCACTCTCCCCTACTCCTCTCTCCACTTCTCCCCACTTTCCCCTGCTCCTCTCTTCCCTCCTCTACTCTCCCCTCCTCCACCCTCCCCTCCTCCTCTCTTCCCCTCCTCTCTCCCCTCCTCCTCTTCCTTCCTCTTTCCCCTCCTCCTCTCCCATAGAAATCCAAGGGCTCCGTGCCCGGGAAGGAGGAGTCCGGGACGCGGCAGAGCAAGAAATCCTGGCAGCGGCGTCAGGAGCAAGGTCAAGGGCAGGGTCAAGGTCAGGGTCGTGGGCGAGGTCGGGGTCGGGGCCGCACCGAGCGGAGACTCAGGAAAGCGGCGAGGCTGCGTCCTTTCGACCCTACGAGCCCAACACCACCCTGAGTGTACACAGGGGGGCCCAGGACCCAGGGGCCCAGAGCGGAGCGGCCTGTGGACCCCGCGCTTCCCATGGAGCCCCTGTGGAGCCCAGTGGGAACCCGTGGGACGCCGAACCCCCCGGGCGCCGAGGGGCGGTTTCACGGTTACGCGACACGGGCCGTATTTTACCATCTCAGTGAATTCTGTGAATTCTGCTGTTATTGCCGTTATCGTCGCTACTGCTATAACTATTGTCGTATACGGACGCGGTAATGAGCACCACCACCCTGTGCTGCTCGCCCCGCATGGGAATTGAACCCTGACCCTTGGCCACAGAGGCAAGTAGAGCTGAACTTCAGCCTCCAGGGAGGTGGAGGTTCCCTGAAAGGCTCATCCTCCTCTCATCACGGGCCTGGCCGATCCCTCCACGCTGCGTGTTACCGACTGGGGCCCCGCACTGCCTTGTGGACTCGTCGTGTGTGCTCACCGCTGTAGGCCGCTCGTCTCTATAAGGTGCATTGTATGGGTGTATATGCAGCTGTTAGTTCCTTGTATATACAGTACGTAAATATGTGTGCGTTGTGCGTGTGGACTGATGGCACTTTGAGCGCGTGGCGCACACTCGTGGCGTGCGTCCCGCCACCTGTAGACCCTTTATAAGAGCACTAAATGCACCGCGCCCCAAGAGGGACGGACAGGGGCCTCCTCGGGGATTCACGCCAATCGCGCCGCCGCCCACTGCGGCCACGACCTTGCGTGGCCTCCATGCCCCTCCCGCTTCACGGAACCTGGGGGGCAGGATGCGGCACTGCGCGCTCGGTGGCACGGGACTCGGCTCAAGTGTGGAGTCTCGGAGATGAAGAAACTTGAAAGGGTGCTGGCGACCCCACTCTGACCCCACCCCGACCGCAACTCTCCCCAAAAAAACCCAAATGACCCCACCTAACCCCACTCTGACCCCACCTAACCCCAACATCACCCCCTGAGTGCACCAGTAGTGTCTGGAAAGCTGGTCTCATATTTAAATACGGTGGTGTGTAAACGTATGTAAGCTTATACACGCCGTTGTCTGTGGAGGTTAGCAACAGCATGTTTCATTATCTTTGCATGACAGCTGCAGAGATGGTTGGCTTGAGCCATCGTGACTCTGCAAACTATCAACCAATCTCAAACCTTAAAACGATTTCAAAGGTCACAGAGTGTCTTTGTCTGAAGCGGTTACTTCCCCACGTCGCTGTGACGGGCAGATTCAACCCGTTGCAGTCATGTACCAAAAGTTCCACAGCACTGAGACGACTCTACTAAAGATCACTGATCACCTCTACAAGATCATGGATGACCAGTGTGCTGCAGCGTTGGTTGGCCTCAATCTCTCAGCCGCCTTCGATACCATCGACCATGAGATACTCATTGGGTGGCTAAGGTCAAGGTTCAGTGTATCCGGTACATTACTGGGGTGGATTGAGTTATACATACATGGTCGATCATAGTTCGTCAACCTGGGTGACGAACAGTCATCACCTATGCCGTGCCGAGTTGACGTACCACAGGGGTCCATCCTCGGACCCTTCCTATTTTCAACATACATCTCTCCGATCGCCAATGTCATCTCATTGTTCTATCAATATGCTGATGATACACAATTGTACACTGCAGTGAAGTCAAAGTTAGACATGGAGAGCCTCGGTAACCTCGAAGATTGAACCCGAGCGGTGCACGTGTGGTTTACACGAAATAAAATGCTGCTTAATCCAGAAAAATCGGAGGTTCGGTTGGTTGGCACTCGGGCTGAGGTAAAAAATTGTGGGAGGATCAGGTGTGGTGGTCACAGACTCCAGGATTCAGTTTTCTACTCGTATAAAGAGCCTCGGCACCATACTCGACCAAAATATGTCGTTCGATCACAACCTGTAAAAGTCATATCCTGCAATTTTCATATTAGGGCTCTACAACATATTCGAGCACGATTGAGTCATGACATAGCCAACATGGTGGCGTGTAGCATTGCAACTCACTACTCTACGGGACGTCTGGCAAAAACATTACCAAGCTGCAGTATGTACAACATTTTTTGGCACATGTCCCGACGGGTACTGCAAGATTTGACCATGTCTGTCCAATGCTCGCCGAGCTGCATTGGCTTCCAGTTGCTCAACGAATATATTATAAGGTCGCATTCATTACACACAAAGCGCTTGCCACAAATGAACTACAATACCTTGCTGATCTCGTCAAGGAGCATAAACCATCACGCGTACTCCGGTCATCCTCACAGCGGCTTTTGGCTAGCCAACGAACAAAGACTGTCACTGCATCGTGAGATTTCAGATGCGCTTCTCTGGTCGTCGAGAATGCTCTTCCTTCCGATATTAGGAAGCCACTGGAGCTATGCACTTTTAAAATCTAGATTGAAAACTAATTTCTTTAGAACTGCTTTTTGTGTTTAGTTTGTTGTTCTTCCTCCACACCTCCGATCAACATGGTTGGCTACGTACGGTGCGAAATAAGTTCAAGATAAATACAATCATCAAACGTAAATAAAATATTTCACAAAGGGTAGCACTGTTGCCTCCATTGCTTCCATTGTGTCCGGAGTCCCCGTTCCCCTAACCCCCCAGGGTGTGTGCTGCAAGGAGATGAGGCAGACAGCATTAACCAGGCCAAGGATCTCAAACTTGACCCTGACCATGGCCCTAACCCCATCGAGCACAAACTCTGCCTAAGTCGCTTTCCCTGACATTAACCATTAAAGCCTCTAAACATCGATGTAAAACCCTAAATTATCAGCACATCATGATATGAAACATTGACTCCAACCTGACGATGTCAAAGTGATGTCCTGCTCATATTGGCATTGAGACAGCACTCTGCATTTACAGCCCTTAGGCATCACAAGACGCTCTACCGCAAAGCCATCTGGATGATTAAATTAGGATCCTCAATTATAACCCCCAAATCTGAGTCTGCTCTTGCTAAGTGCCTCGGACGCAAAGCAGTAGGGGTTGTGACACTCACTGCACCATCTGTAAATCCCTCAGTCCCTCTTCCTGCTCTCACCTGCACTGACACTACCCTCTCTCCAACAAAGGCCTTAAGGCTGCACTCTCTCCAATCAACCCTCCCTACAACTGCGCTGCCAGCACAGGCAGAGCTCAGGGAGACTCCACGTGCAGTGATCACCTTCCCTGCCCCTCCCTCCGCTCCCTAAACGCACCGCGAGGCCACATTGCACCCAAGGGTTTTATCAAAATAAAACCATGCAGAGCTGTGCGGCTCGCAAACGGCAGGCAGGGAGGCCCGACTCCTATACGCCTTGCGTGCATGTCGCGTGACTACCGCACTGCAGGCACAGTGCCCTCTCCGATTTAGAGCACGGTTGGAGAAGCGTCGAGCATTCATGACGCCGTGGAGGCCAGGTTTCCACATCGACCCAGAGGTGGTGGCCACGGCCAAGCTAAGACCCCTAGCAGCCGGCACTCACATGCGGAAGAAGCTGGTCAGCCTCATCTGGCCTGAGAGCAGCTTGGCCTTCGTAGGTTGCCTCGCCCGACCTCGCGCCTGCCTGGACGTTGGTGCCACGGCCCGTTTCTCAACTTCGAGCCCCCGAGGATGTTTGAGTTGCGGTTCAGAGCCTGTGTTGCAACGCCTGGGTGAGGGAGGCGGCCTCTTGCCACGGACGAGCGTTCGGCTGCTTGACCCTTGGTCCACAGATGCGGCCTGCAGCTCGGCCAGCCCCACCGACAGCTCTGTCCACACAACAGCAACATTGACGGCACGCATGTCCTACCACTGAGCTTGGCACGTAATTAACAAGCCCCAGAGCGCAGCAACTTCCGTGGGCTCGTGGTGCTGGTTACCACTGCACACACATTGTCATCCACACGCTCTGTAATTTGCAAACATTCACAGCGAACCCAAATTTTGATACCAGTAGTTCCCAACCTTTCTGGACCTGTGGGCCAATGTCAACCCTGAAAGAAATGTCACGGACCACCATGCACCGTGGCGGTGGCAGATTGGGGAGGATTTCATCTAGTAGTGGATTGATTATAGCTGATGAGGATGACAGTAACCAATGCCAGCAATCAGGTTCAGTAAATAGCCAGATGTGTTGATGAGTCACGAATACAATCTAATTATCTGTGCAACAGGCAGTAAACATTACGGTGCTTTGTGAAATAAATTGTATCTGCAGTAGACCCGTGGACCGCCTCCCACAGCCTTTCAGACAACCATTGGTTTGCAGACCACTGGTTGGGAACAACTCATTTAGTTGTCCTCAGAAGTGTCTTTCTTTCTCTCTCGGCCTCTGTGTTTATTTGTCTGACCTCTCTGTGTATCTGTGTGCCTGTCTCTGTACATGTGTCCCTCCCGGTGTATGTCTGGCTTTTTGTCTGACCCTTGCCATATCTGTGTGTGCCTGAACCTCCCTGTGCCTCCCCGTGTCTGTCTCCGTCTCTCTGTCTTTTTCACTGTCTCCAGGAATCAGTGCATTAAATCCCATCCACACAGAGCTTCTCTTATCACCAACACAGTTTTGTCCGATGGTCATTGTGAGGGCCACGGTGAAGTCACCGCTCACCCCACCCGCTCAGCCACAACAATCGCACGCCGGGGGGGGGGGGGGGGTGTTAATGTGGCGAAGCGTGCGGGCATGTCCGGGGGGATGTCGAAGGCAGTCGTGTGCGCTGACCTGGGCACGACGACAACGCGGGCTCGGAGGCGCACAGGATGCGTCGTGAGGCAGATCCACAGGGCCGGGGAGGGCGCTGCTCCCCCCCTCCCCCCTCCCCTCCTTCAACCTCCTCGTCCCTCAGAGCCAGGTCAAGGCCACAGGGGAACTCCTCCCTGTACGTGCAGGCAAACTGGGAACGCACCCATCCGGGCTGGGCGGGATACACACACGCACGCACAAAGATCCTCCATGTAGCTTACATAGACTGTTGGGGTAAGTGCAGTTAGTAAGCACCTAGAGACCGGCATAGTGCATGAGGGCAGGCCGCCGCTGCCTCCCCTTGATTACACATAGCACCGGGTCATCATTTAAGGCTGACTCAACTTAGGGGAAGCCTTAGACTGTTTCAGATATGTGTTACTAACGTTGGCCGAGAGCGGGAATCAAACTTGGGTCACCGGGTTCGTAGTGCAGTACACTCACCACTGTGCTACCGCTCCAAAGACAAAGATCCTCCGTATAGCATCAGCAGACTGTTGGCGCAAATAATATTAGTGAGTATCTATGAATGCCGGCATGGCACACAAGGAGGTGGGTGGCCAGCAACATTATGGCGATGTTTACACACTACCCCAGGTACTCATTTGAGGCTGAGTAAACTTAGGGGAAGCCTTAGACTTGTGTGACTAATGTTGGCCGTGAACGGGAATGCAACTTGGGTCACCGGGTTCCTAGTCCAGTGCACTAACCACTACACAGCGGCTCCCCTCACGCACACACATGCCTATATATTGGAAACCCTCTAAAAGTCCTGCATTTTCAGAATTTGCAAATACAGGAACCTTGATTCAATGGGAAAAAAGGGTTACGTTCCTGGTACGAGTGAACATAAGAGGGAAATGATGAATGCTTAATAACAATGACTACAATAAATAAAACATTAAAAAGAAAAATGTGTTTTGTTAATTACCTTTGATGATGATGATGATTTAATGATGATGGAGGTGTTGGTGAGGAATTCAGGAGGATGACTCCTCGAGAGATGCAGGTGTTTGATAACAACAAAGAGCTATCATTTTAGCACTGTGGGGAGCGCTACCCGCAATACTTTGCCCGATTGCATTGCTGTTCTTTTTAATGGACCTCACAGTCGACTCGTTTATACCAAAATGCATAAACGAGTCGACTGTAAGAACCTATAAAGTAAATATGCACAAAAGCAAGTTCAGAGCGGGATTACTGCAAGACTTAAGGACTAAACAGGCAGCTGCCGGGGTGTGCCTAATCTTCGCAGACAGTTTCAAATCTTAAATTCTGCGTGCACCTCCCTGGTGTCGGTGGTCTGGCACATACACTCGCGAATAATGGAGTCCAGTGGGTCGCAAATAGGGAATTAGTATACATTTAATAACTAGCGGATATGTGAAACTCGCGAATCCAGAACTTGCGCAGAGCAAGAATTTATTGTATACACACAAGCATGCAATAAGGGAGGCTGTTCGGGGTCATGCGCTCGCATCCCATGCCCCCTCACGTGCTGTTACGCAAAGCTCAGTGATGTCCCGATTTCATGCACTGCAGACACGGGGGTCTGGGCAGACAGAAGCGTCCAATCTCCTCCATGCCACATGCACACACGCACACATGCCGGGTGACGCCGTCCCAACAACCAGTCAAGCACGGACCGCTGGGCTCGACTTTTGCACACCGCTCGCCCCGGCAGCACCATGGGAGGGGCGGCCAACAGTGCTGCCTCAGGGTTTCTGCCCGGCCGCTGCCTGATGCTGGCATGAACCCTGTGGGGCCGAGCGTCTGGCCGCAGCCGCTGCTGCGAGAAACAGGGCTGGGACAACGGTGCCGGGGCCCCCGTGGACGCTGCCTTTGATGCCGCTCGCGCACATTGTGAGTTACGTCCTCGTTTTTACCGCAGACCGTGAACGCGGTCCAAGCGCGGCACAGTGAATTCCATAGCTTGGGCTATTATTCATCCCCCGAGACGACCTGCTTCATAATTCTCTGCTTAAATCTCTTTCACACAAAGACGAAGATACCCCTGTATAGTCTTAACAGACTGTTGGGGCAAGTGCTATCAGCAAGTAGCCATTTGCCACTAAGTAATGGTGACAAAGCACTTGCACCAGGCTAGGGGCACATCAGGCCACGTAAAGTGTTGAAGACACACTGACAGGTCGCAAAACAATCCTATTGGGTTATGGGTTGACTGACCAAGATAACTGTCAGATGGACCACATGTGCTGCCCACTGTCCCACCTTTTATTGTTTGAGCCATCAGGTACTCTGTTCATTGCTGTATCGCTCCTCCATCCTCTACTGTTTCTGGAGGTTGAAAACCTCCAAACACCAAATAGCGTCCTTTACAAGCTTTCTCCATAGTGGCCAATCTTGGCATCACTGGTACCAGTCATCGGCAAGTCCATTCAGCTCTAAGTCCTGGTATCAGCCGTGTCAAGATCATCCACACCCATTGCACCTCCTTGGCAGATGGCACATCAGTGAGCCACTCAAAGGGAGAGGCTACTTCCTCCAATATTTATGGACCACAGAAAAAAAACCCGTATGTACATCCACACACACCCACCCTTTTCTCACACACACAAAGACACAAAAATCCCCTTTTTATAGCCTAAATAGACTGTTGGGGCAAGTTCTGTTCGTGAGTAGCACCTACGAGGGGGTGGATGGCTAGCACCATGCCCGCCCACCTTTGTCTCCTCAGTATTGATATTTACACGATGTACCGGGTACTCATTTGAAGCTGAGTCGACCAAGGGGAGGCCCAGAACCATGTTCAGATATTTGTCACGATGTTAGTCGTGAGTGGGAATCTGACTTGGGTCACCAAATTCATAGGGAAGTGCGCTAACCACTGCGCCACCGCTTCCCACAAACGTAAACACGAGACAAAGACCTCCCATCATATAGACTTTTTTGGGCAAGTGCTGTAGCGAACACCTATGAAGGCCTGCATGGGACACGAGGCGGTGGTGTGGCCAGAACCACACCCGGCCATCTTTGTCTCCCTATTGGCGATGTTTATACAGATCCGAAGCTTTCGTGACTGCAGGAATTACTCTTTGGTTCTTTCGTTAAAGTGACGTAGAAAATAAAATCAAATAGTAATAGAATACGACGTTTCGGTTGCAACACAAGCAACCATCATCAGGTAAGAATGAATGATAAAACACAGACATGGAAGCAGCATAGGCAGACACATGCAGAGAGATACACAAAGACACACCGAGCGAGACACACACCAAGGAAATACAGACACGGAAACAGCATAGGCAGACCCACAAGCAGAAAGAGACACACAACACAAAGACACAAACTTTCTATTTCCTGCTCGGTGTGTCTTTGTGTTGTGTCTCTTTCTGCTTGTGGGTCTGCCTATGCTGTTTCCGTGTCTGTGTTTTATCATACTTTACTTCTAATTTAGCAATCTTTGGAAGAACGTTAATCAACCAGGCTATGTGTTAACTGTGTGTTAACCGACCCTCTGTGTTGCATTGTATTACACTTCTTAATTTTACTAAATTTGCTTTCTCCAACTTTCGATTTTCTTGCTCTAAACCATTGTCTCTCCTCCGGCCACTGTGGTCCGGAATTCCACACTGCTCCCCTCGTCTGCCTACTGGTCCCTCGTTTTGGTCCGCCTCCGCAGTCCTCTCTCTGCCCCGGCCCCTCTTCCCTCTCTCTATTTAAGGCCTCGGCACAGAGTTGTTGTCCTTCTGTTTGTCTTGGTGTGTGTCTCGCTCGGTGTGTCTTTATGTTTGTCTCTCTCTACATGTGTGTCTGCCTATGTTGTTTCCGTGTCTGTGTTTTATCATTCATTCTTACCTGATGATGGTTGCTTGTGTTGCAACCGAAACGTCGTATTCTATTATTATTTGATTTTATTTTCTACGTGACTTTACCGAAAAAAACAAAGAGTGATGTTTATACATTGTACCAGGTACTCATTTGATGCTGAGTCGACCTAAGGGAGGCCCAGAACCAGGTTCACATATTCGTAACTGATGTTGGACGTGAGCGCAGTACGCTAACCAATGCGCGACCGCTACTCACATACACACCCATGTACACACACCCACGTGCACACACCCATGTACACACACCCACGTGCACACACTCGGGTTTGGGGTGAGGGACGCACCCGTGTGGGAGTCTGCACGCGATTGCACCGCCTGTGCACACGCTGCACCAGAGGCTCTGGGGACGGCTCGCTCGCCTGCTCAGGAGACCTGCAACACAAAGGCAAAAATCACCCGTGTAGTCTCCCCAGGCTGTTGGGGCAAGTGCTGTCAGAGAGCCCCATGAATTGCCAGCACAGCACACCAGGAGGTAGTGCAGCCAGCACCATGGTCAGCTTTGTCTTCTTCGTGCTAATATATACACTGCATCAGATACTCATTAACGGCTAAGTTGACTTAGGGGAGGCCAGAATCATTTAAGATATTCATCACTGATGTTGGCAGTGAATGGGAAACAAGACCAGTTTCTGGGTTCAGAGTGCAGGGTGATAACCGCTACACTACCGTTGCCCACACATAAAAATACCCCTTATAGCCTTAACAGACTGTTGGGGCAAGTGCTTTTAGTGAGCAACTATGAAGGCCGGCACGGCACACGAGGTGGTGGGTTGCCAGCACCACACCCGGCCGCCTTTGTCTCCTGAGTGGAAATGTTAACAAATCGCACCAGTAAAGTCACGTTGAAGGGAAAGAATAATATATATATAAAACAATAAAATATTTTATTATTTTATTGTTTCCCTTCAACGTGACTTTACCGAAAGAGCTAAGAATATGAATTACTGCAGTCACGAAAGCTTTAAATCAAAATTTAAATCGCACCAGGTACTTTTTTGAGGTTGAGTCGACCTAGGGGAGGCCCAACACTAGTTCAGATAATCGTAACTGGTGTTGTCTGTGAACTGGAATCGAACTCGGGTTGCCAGGTTCGTAGCACAGTACGTTATCCGCTACGCTGCACCTTCACAAACACACATTAACCAGCATGTTAAAAGTAAAGTCAACCCCCAAGTAAAGTCACGTAGGTAAAAAATAAAACAAAAATCACGACGTTTCGGCCACAACACAAGTGGCCTTCATCAGGTGAAGGGACCAGACTGTCTCGAGGACAGCGCTGGAGTGAACACAGCCAAGCTCAGACCGTGACCTTTAAGCTGTGTGAAAGGAATGAAGGTGCCTTGACAAAGGAATTAGCATAAAAATTAGCATTTAATTGGCAGACTTAGCATGATGAACGGTGTAGAGGGGGTGAACATGTGCAGGTCGGCGAGGGGGGGGAGGGGGAGTTTACATATTGATGGTGTGAAAAGGGAATTTTAAGAGCTGCGAAAGTTTGGGGTACCACTACTTGAAAAAATATACTGTACCATTGAAAATTAGTTTAATGTTTGGTTCGATTTAGAACATCTTTCCAATGGTTGCTTAATTTGAAACCATCTTCTCGGTTGAAATTGTGTCTGTGTTTGTAAATCTGAATTAAAAATGACCCTACTAATAGCCTAACTATAAAAACCAACAAGTTCATCACAAGTTCGACCTCACTAATCGAACCAACTAAACGTCCCTCCCTAAAACCTTCTGCTGCAAGACCCCCTAGATTATGTCTACAGGAAACCCACCCACACAGATTCCTACTTGAAGCCTGATTCCCACCACCACCCAGCTCAAAATAATTCTCTCATCCAAACTTTATACCATAGGGCTCATTGCATTTCGGACCAACACCACCTGACCAGTGAATTAAAACATGTACACCTGGCCCTCAAAAGGAATGGATACTCTGACCGTACCATCCGCCAAGCTGTTTCTCCCTCCATACAGAAACAACCACTTTATACTCCGGTCAAAACCATCACACTACCATATATAGCAGGCGTTACTAAAAAGATTTCCAAAATTCTAAACAAACACAAGATCCAGGTCCGGTTCAATAGTACACAAAATTCGTGATATGATCCCATCCGTGAAGGATGTCATTCCTGACTTACAGTACCCCGGGGTTTACAAATTGAGTTGTACCTGCGGTGATTGCTATATTGGGGAGACGAAGCGACATGTCTCTGACCGAATTCGCGAGCACAAATCAGATTTGAAACACGGCAGAACGAACTCTTCTGCTGTAGCTGATCACTGTTACAACGCTGTGGGTGATCACGATATAATTTTTCTCCGATACCAAGGTTCTTTGCAAACCCACGGGTTTTTATCAGAGATTTGTTCACGAGGCAATTCAGATTTACAAACACAGACACAATTTCAACCGAGAAGATGGTTTCAAATTAAGCAACCATTGGAAAGATGTTCTAAATCGAACCAAACAATAAACTAATTTTCAATGGTACAGTATATTTTTTCAAGTAGTGGTACTCAAAACTTTCGCAGCTCCTAAATTCCCTTTTCACACCATCAATATGTAAACTCCCCCTCCCCCCCTCGCCGACCTGCACATGTTCACCCCCTCTACACCGTTCATCATGCTAAGTCCGCCAATTAAATGCTATTTTTTATGCTAATTCTTTTGTCAAGGCACCTTAATTCCTCTCACACAGCTTAAAGGTCACGGTCTGAGCTTGGCTGTGTTCACTCCAGCGCTGTCCTCGAGACAGTCTGGTCCCTTCACCTGATGAAGGCCACTTGTGTTGTGGCCAAAACGTCGTGATTTTTGCTGTTTTATTTTTTACCTACGTGACTTTACCGAATAGAACCAAAGATTATGGATCCTTGCAGTCACGAAAGCTTCAAATCTAGAATCAACCCCCAAGACTGAAATAGCGTGGGAAGGTCTTCATCCAGTGGTGGATTGACCAAGGGCACTGCACCGTTACTTGCTTGTTGTATTTTGGGCCATGTGGGATGGTCACCCGATGCTGCTTCCTCTATACGTGTGTGGCTGGAGCAGAGCATTCAGGTAGCGTCTGGATTTCACAGTGTATATGTGCATGCGTGAGGAGTGCAGGTGTACGTGTGTGCATGCGTAAGAGCAAGCGAGCAGGCGCCTTTGAGAACGAGTGAAGGAGACCAAGTGGGACCACTCTCAATCTCTACTGTCCCTCACTGTGCCTCCCTCGCCCCGCGCCCAGTCATGCTCGTTCCTTTTCCCTTCTTGCTCCCATTCACTGGAATGAACTCTGACTGCACCTAAATCAATCTTCATTTACATGCTCCCGCTCCTCCCTTGAAACCCATCTCTTCTCCCTTGCCCATCTTACTGCTACCCCCACCCCCCAGCTACGACCAGGTTTACCCTAACTCCCACCTGTCCAAACTGTCACTGAACTACACCACCACTTTGAATAACATCACTATTTATTTTAACTACTATCATCTTATGTGCAATGTTATACTTGTTGCAAAGCGCCTTGGATTAAGGCGCTATATAAATCTACATTAGATAAGAAACGAGCGAGTGTGCATCTGAGCGTGTCCCGCTTGGCTGCTCTTGTCCATCAAACTGGTTTTCGTTAGGCCCGCATGGATGTGACCCAGGAATACTCGTCTCTCACCCTCTGGTCACAACCGATAACTATTCTGTGCAGAAGTGACATCGCCACGGCTGGCGCTGGCTGGGCTCACGGTGGTGGCAACATCCTCCGGTTCGTGTGAATATTTAACAGCATCCTCGCACGAATCACCCCGTGCAGGTGAAATCTGCGTGGGCGTGGCAGCACCAGCGCTAGTTGTAGCGATGGTAGTGGTAATGGCTGCAGTGATGGTGGTGTTACAGGCAGACTTTGCTCAGCCCGCAGATGCGTACCTGGTGAATCGAATCAGCATTAATAAGGGTCATTATAGTATATTGTATATGTAGTGGGTTCTACAGAGGCACACACTTGAACTTGGAGGCAACCCAAAAGGGTAACTACATACACGTACACTGGTTAACTAGACCATAATAGGGTAACTACATAACCGGGTCAGTCAGCTAACACACTGTGTGACCCACGATGCCGAGCGTAAAGACCAAAGAGACGTAGCACCGACGGGTTCCATTTCAGCAGACAGCCACGATTGCTCTCGGGACTTCCCTTTTACGCTCCCGAGCGTGGCCTCGCTCCGCCTCACCAAAAGATTCTCGACCAAGCATCACGTGTCCCTCAAGCCACCCTTTGGGCCCCCTCACTACCCTGTCCCGGTCACGTTCCCCCTCGGGTTCACTCAGACTGTCACGTCCTTACTTGCCCTCTCTCTGACCGTCACCGGAACCATGCCCCCGAGGGCCCACTTCTATGCCATACCCACTCTGGTGCCAGAGAGGGTCAAGATGCACAATTCCACTCTAGTGACAGTAGCTGGCGCTAAACGCCATAGTGACTCCATTAACGTCACTACATATATATGTGGATGCATTCTGGACGGCGTTATTTGTTTCCTATGAGCAATATATGAGGGCTTTATTGGAGTATCAGTAATCGTGCTAATAATAATACAGGTGGAAAACATTATTTCACAAATAAAAATAATAATTTAAAACATCAGTATTATGTACTGTACTCACAAGTGCATTCTACTGCACTCCTCCTACAAGGCAGTGGTGGGAAACGAGGTTGTAGGAGCTGCTGCGCTCCCAATCCGGGTCATTCTCAGAGAAGAGCTCCAGGAAATCCATGATCTTAGTGATGCCCTCAGTCTAAATGTATGTGGTGAGGTTTCTTTTAGGTGGAGCCTGAGACTCTATCCTGATCTCGTGATTTATCACGAGACCAGGATAGAATATATAATCATGACTACGAATCATGATAATCGATTTGCGGGGATTAGGGTCTGGTTGGCTCAGAGCTGGCGTGGCTCTCATTAGCTGAGCGAATGATGGGGGTGGGTACGTTTCCTTGGCCAGCACTGCTGCGTGTTCTCACTCATAAGCACTTTGCAGATATTTGATTTTCTTAAGTTTTTTTGTAAAAGTTTCTACCGAACAAAGAGCGCGATAACGAGTGAGTGTTCTTCGGAGTCGCATTAAGTGAGGTCTGCCTGTATGTATGGGGCTGTGGTGTATGCTCCCACGACCCCCCCCAGCCCACAGGGGCCCCTGACCTGAAGAGAGCAAGGCAGGGCAGAGGTCCCAGGCCACCTCCATCCACGGGGTCCCAGCCACCATCCCTCCCATGCAGCCCCCCTGCCAGCGCAGCCTCGTAGTCCAGAAGGCTACGCAGCAGCGCCAGGGCGGCACGCCCACTCATGGCCGTGCCGTGGTTGATGGCGTGAAGTCGGGGCTATGGCAGATGGCGGCATCAGTGGTGCACACACACACATACACATGCTTTGAAAGTCAAAGGGATATTCTGCTCAATTGAGCATTGAGGCAGCTCGTATCTCCTCTTCGAGGTTCTGAGCCAGCGGTGGAAATTCCACATTCCTACGACAGAGGCAAGTCTATGCATAGAACAACCATTGTTAACTTTCCCACAAAGTGGTATCACGTTTCTCGACCACAGAAAGGTAATGAGTCAACCCCCAAATGGGATGTGAGCTCACAACCTTTCGATTGTGAGCTGCTCGCCCTGCTGTTGAGCCACTTCACCAGTTAAGGACTATAGGGCTTCAATGACAGTGGATTATTTTGGCTCGGCATAGTCTACATTCTAGCGGTAGTGATTTGTGCTGATAATGCCTATGCCAAGCCAGTCTAGCAGTGTTCTGGAGGGAGAAATTAACCCCTGGAGTAAGTAATCAACAAGGAGAAGAGACAAAACAAAGCCTTGCGGAACGCCAGAGTGAACAGCGAAGGTGCGAGTCCGTTTACCTGAGCGGGGCTGGCGCTGCCGTGCACAGCAGGCATCACCTCTGCCTCCCTGAGTCGCTCACTCAACTCCTCGGCCGCTTCGTCGAGCGCGGGACCCACGGCGTGACCCATCACGCGCAGCCGCAGTAGGCGCAGCCGCACAGCGGTGAGCACACGCTCACACGCCCGCCTGCCGCCAGAGCCGCACGTTACTCAGTGAAAGCGAGCAACGCCACTCAGTAAAATTAGCAGCTCTTATCTAGAAGCTACGCAGCCGTTTGTCTTCCAGGCTGTTGGATGCGTCGTCAGAAATTCCTCCCATGATTAACAAACAAATACTCTGAAATAATGTTCACGTCCTCTTTAGTGATGTCACTGTGGTGTGAATGTTGTGTTTTTATGTTGCTTCTGTGATGTCACCTCAGCACAAATAACGTCACTTTAAAACTTTTTTTTCATAATAAGAAAGCTTTGAGCTCTTGTGGCATGGCCATGGCACCCAGCCTGAGTGTGGATCTGCAAGAGCCGAGTGTGTTTAGGTTCTGCATCTGCCACTGCTACCACTGCTCACTCACGTCACTATTAATGCGCATCCACTCGACGGAGCTCTACATGGCCCCTCTAAAGGGTTTTTGGCCTACTCTTCCACATCTTGGAAAAAGTTAGAGTGCCCACATTTTACCTCACCATTCGTGACCCTCCAATTTACGAACTGCCGTGAACCCATATAAAACACGGGGTGAACAGAGGATGAAGAATTTAAGAAACTTGCACCGTTGTTTAAAATCAGCAACCTCTGGCTTTCAAGTCCAGGGTGTTACTCAATACATGACGGCAGCGTCCCATATTACAAATTACAATGAGAGTTATTTAAAAATTATGTTTTAATAATACCAACTGGATGTAATATTGGGCATCCAGCTCACCATTGCAACACAAAGACAAGGCTATGCGTCAATTCAACTTTAGCCATTTGGTGGATTGGTATTATTAGGGGTCATGAGTCATTTTAACAATCAATTCTCTTTTGTCAGCTTTCATGGTCGCATCTGCACCATGTCTCTCTTTTAAAGTCTCAACGGTAACCTTTGCTCATCTGGCCAGCCCAAATATAATGCTATTATCATTGTTACACTAGTTTACCCAGGAAGGCCTCACCTAGCCTCAAGGATATTTTAAGGACGGTCACCTCCTTTTGCAAACTATTGCGCTAGGGGGCGACAATTTCTACCTGTTTCCCATTCAAGCAATATTTATTTTTTCTGAAAATTTAGACCATGACGCCAGCACACAATGGCCTACACTTCTTTGAACAATGTCACAGGATCCTTAATGTGCACTGGGAAGCAGATGGTGTAGAGTGTTTTAACGTTTCTACACTATCAGTAGTAATTAGGGTGACTATTGTGGGTGATGGTGCTGTGGTTGTTGATATAGTGTGTATGATGATGCTGTGGTTATTGATACAGTATGTGTGATAATGTTGTGGTTGTTGATGGAGTGTGTGTGACAATTCGATGTTTGTGGGTGTGAATGATGACAATTCCAGTATTAACCGGGACGACCTGCTGGATTTGAACTGCAAAAGTCTGCAACAAGTGGTGTAAAACACCACCCTTGGGCCATGTCATCACCCTATCAGCATATGATTTGCACGTAATTTGCATTCGATGTAAACAATGAATTCTCACGCGTGCGATTCGACGGGTGCATTATACGGGAATGAATTGATTTGTAGTGATGAATCGACGTTACCATGTGCCAAATAAATTCCGCACATGGCCTCACTCAAGGTTGAGCAAGTGAGGCCGCGATTCTGCTGCCTCTGCGTAACGCACGAGCGATAGTGGTGCGTACATAGGTGCATGCATAGGTGCGTGCCGCTGGTCGTGACCGCAGTACCGGGGCTCAGTGTCGTGCGCTGCCAGCAGCTCCACCAGCTGGTCCAGGAACTGCACGAGGTCCCCGAACCCCTGGGCGTAGCGGAGCAGGGGGTTGTCCAGTTCCACTGCGCGACTGCGTCCGCCCAGCTCCAGGCGACGCACGAACGATGTGGCGGCCTGGAACGGCACCATGGTGCATCTGCAGTCTCCGTCCGGCTGCCCAGCCAGAACCCTTAAACGGGCTCCCTCCTGCCCCCCAGCTCCCCATTCAGCTACCAACTCAGCTTCATGCCCAGCCAGCCACAGTCACCCGCCCAGCTAACCACCCAGTCACCAATTCCAGAGCAAAACACCTACAGGCATGCGAGAGTGCGCGAGTGAATGTGCGAGCTTATGGAGCAACTGGAAGCTGAGCCACGTATGAGCAGTAGCGTGGCCGAGTATGCTAAGTTGCATTTCAGAACCCAGTACTAAGGTCCATGTTTTAGAAGTGTTCAAGGCCAATGGATCTATTGCAACTGGCCCTAAATGTTACTGGATCAAGGGTCCTTGGATATATGAGCCACTGGATCCACGGTTTGTGCCAGAAGGACCTGTAGACCTGTACGCCACTGGGACTGTGTGCCACTGCACCCACGTGTCACTGACTCGGCGGTGCAGGCATCTACATCGAATTTTCCTCCGTGCGGCCATGGCTGCGTGGTCCCGCGTGGCCACCTTGGCCCCGCTTCACCGCGCCCCGGGTAAGACCTTTAACCAGAAGCAGCTGCAGTCGAAAGGAAAATAAATGAATAAACATTTTTGTAGGGGAGAGGAACACGCGAGGTGCGTTGTGAGGTGAGCTCTGGGGCTGCCCGTGAGCTCCCGGCAGCACCGGTGAACGCACGACATTCGCTGCCAGCATCGTTCGGCCCGCAGTTCTGTCCTGGGACTGGTTTCCCAGCCACGCCGCCGCCGTGCTCCGGTGAATAATGCGCCACTATAACTTTAACCATTTCATTATTATTATGCATTTCTTTTCAAACTAAAGCTAACGTCTGCTCACTCGGCACTTTGCATATTGACACAGGCGGTGGGGCCGGTAATCCCTCCACACTCGCGCACTTCAAACCCGCGTTTCGCGCTGCCCCGGGAGCCCGCATAACACTGGGTAAACACACAACGCTCACATCTGGAAAACAATATTTTCACTCCTTAATGAATTACAGACCTTCTGGCTGGGCCGCGCATTACACCAAGAGGGACAAGCTGAGAGAGGGGTGGGGGGGGAGGGCCTGGGATGGAGGAGGGCCTGCGTGCGGGGTGGCGGTTGAATGAAGAACGTGAGGGAGAGGTTTGGAAGGAGCGGAGGAGAGCATGCGAGAGAGAGCGTGTGAGAGAGAGTGCAGGGTTCAGCAGGAGTGCAGATGTGTGATCTGTATCGAGCCCCGTACGATGCAGAGCACACACACACACCGTGCGTCATGATCACCGGCCCGTGCTTGCGTTTGCAAAAGGCAGCGTATACGGGAGTAGCAGCGCACCAAGCAAGAAATCCTACAAAATATTCATGGGAAAAGGGCAGCCACGTTTGCAGCTTGACTTAAAAACTTAAACACCAGCCATGTTATCAGCCAAGCCAGATTGGGTGGCTAAAGAGCACACGGTCTTGTTGGAAAAACAATCCACCCACACGCATCAGCCAGGGAACTCCAGAGACTCAGCCCCTCTCTGTGTACTTGGGGATGGCCTATGATGTCTGTGTGTCTGTGAGTCTCTGTGTTTGTGGGGTCTGTGTGTGTCTGTAGGGTCTGTGTCTGTCCGGTCTATTAGTCTGTGGAGTCTGTGTGTTTATGGAGTGTGTGTGTGGGGCGGGGGGGGGGTCTGTGTGTTCGTGTGACCAGTGATTTGCCGCTCTGCAAGACCTCACCAGCAGAAGAGATGTATGCTTCGCCCTAGCTGCGCGCTTGAGCGCCGTGAAGGCGTCATGGTCCAGGCCGCGTTCGGGCAGATTGAGCACCAGCGACAGGGAGAGGTCATCCTTGGTGTTGACAAGGAGGCTCAGGTAAGAGCATAGGGCACTGCGCAGGCCGGCCTAGGCGCACATCCACAAATAATAACAACTGCCACTCTTCGCCACGGGGCAATGGTCAAGTCATCACGGTGCTTATTATTTTAAACAGAGTTGCTAAGCACAGGCCCAAAAGGCCCAACAATTTTCAAGCAGCTAGCACAAAGAGTTCAGAACAAATTGAGTAACATTATTATCAGGGCTTGGGAAGAGAGAAGATGGGAGCGACATATAAAGTGCAGCAGTGTGCAGAAAGAAGCAGAAAGCGGAGTGAGGTGACCTGCGGTGTGATGAGTGGGTGAGTAAGAGGGTGTGTGTTGTTGTAACCTGCAGTATGGTTGTTCAGTTTAACACGTAGGCTTTCGCGACCAATATTATTCATAATAAAGGTTTTTGGGTTAGATCGCGTTATTTAGAAATGTGTCGTAACCCTCCATGAGTATGGTTGTTGAATAGTGTGGACGAGATGAAACAGTCAATGTGAGATGGGAAATCAACAAGTGAAGTTCACGGGAATTGAACAGTGAAAGAAGAGTGGTAAGGAGGAGACTGACCACCAGCAGCAGAGTGACTGGAGTGAATCAGTGAGTACTAGGTGCATTTAATGACAAGTGAATGATCAAAAGCTCACCGACAGGGGGTCACGGGACAGATAGAGGTGTTATCAGTCAACTGAGATGACTGGAAGATGCACCACTGTTACTCCCCACTGTACCACCTCATGTAATTTAATCCACCTGATGCTCTGCTTGTTGTTGCTGGAGGACAACTGCCTCCAACTGCCCAGTAGCATCCTGCACGAGCATCCTCCAGAGAAGCTAATCTTTGCACCGCTGGTACCAGTCATCAACAAGTGCACTCAGCTCTGCATCCTCCCATGCATATTCGTCTTTCTTCTTTCGCTCATGTCGTATCAATTTAACCCCCTCTATCTGGCCAAACAGATATTGTTTGGGCATGCGGTGACTGAGCATGACACAACAGTTGTATCCTCACATGTCAGGGGAGAGCTTACCGACAGAACTGTTACCATTTCTTTTAACAATCTGTGACTTCCTTATACAAACCAGTCTCGTTAAACTCAGGATCGATCGCAAGCAGGACAACGTAAAAAATTCAAGCCAGCTCAGGTGTTCTTGTAAGAGGGTCAGTGTTTCGCAATCATAGAAAAATGGGGTAAATATTGCAGCTGAGAAGACCCAGAGACTTGCGTGGAAAGATAGATTCGGCAGCTTTCACACAGAATTATGCAGCTAATTAAAATATCGTGGTGCTCCAATGATTTGGGGTGAGACCTCTGCTGACAAATCAGAGCAGGTCATGAGCATACCACCCAGGTATGGGAGCCTCCACAAATACCCCACTAGTTATAGACAATAAGGAGCAGGTGTTTTATTTTAGTGGGGCTGATGGCAAGGGCCCACATCTTTGTGCTAAGCTCCCATGTTCAGCGGCAGTTACACACACGAATATACATATAAACGTGCACACACATATACACGAGACTCAGTTATGGCCTCATTGACTGCGTGTGCACCTGGGTGATGTTAATGGCTCGTAGCGGGACGCATTTTTAATTTATACGCTATGTAAGTGCACATTCAGGTTTGCAACTTTTTTAGGCATGGCCTGGAAACACCTCAGTTGCTCTTCCACATGTAGAATAATCATCCGATGTTTAACTTCACGAGAGCGGTGTATGATCTGCTGTGCGTGCTCTAACAACACATGACAGCCTTTCTATTTTTAACAGTAATAGTTTTCCTGTGTGCGCTCGCACGGATTTTACACTCTCATTCCACAGGAAGCGTTAAAGATTCCCGCAGATCACTGTGTCGTGAAGACAGCTCGACTTGCCACTGCTCCAGTGGTTGATTTAGCTCCCAGTACAGTCACTACAACCCGGAGAGGAGGCCAAGCCGTCGCTACTATAAGATTTGGGTGGTGGCATGGCCAAGTGGTACCTACCGCATTTGTCACTTGTTGAAGAGGTTCGTGGTCGGAATCTGGCATGCCGCTCTGGTCAATACTACAAGTGTATTAATCATAAAATACTACAGTTGACGATACATTTCCCGTGAGTTTATTCTAAAAGAGTAGGCCATTGTGTGTGCTTCACAGTCCAACTTTTAATTTGGTTTTAATTAAACCGCATTTGGGATTACACACAGTAACATAGCCGCCTACTCCCAAACTACTGTCGACAATGTCTGAGACAAAAAGCCTTTGTGATAACCTTGTTTCTATTAGAATGGCATAAAACACCAAATGTATTTATAATTTGATTTTAAACAGTAGCCCTTGTAAGTGATAAAAGTTTTGAGATGATCCCGCTAATAAACGCCCCTCCGAGCAGATCCAACAACACTCAAATCAACCCAGTGCATGAGTTGTTGGCAATGATTCAGACAGATAACACTCCGTCTCTCCACATAAAGAACAATATTTGTTTCAGTCCATCAGCTTATTATTGGTCTTCCAGACAAATCAGAATCAGAATCTTTATTTAGACTGGAAGGATCCAATGAGCTATGAGGCTCTTTTTCACAGATTACCAGTAGGGGCGGGTCAGAAAGTTGAAACAACAAACAATACAAAAAACGATAAGATTGGAAAGTAAAGGAAAACTCAGCCAATGTAAAACAGTAGCATTTATTTAAGTTGGTAAACTCTTTACCCAGTATAAAACTTCTGGGTCTCATCAACAGGCCTGTTAAACGCTGCTGTTTGCCAGATGGTACTGGCAAGGGTCACTGGGGCCTACACAATGGCTAATAAAGAGTTGGAGTGTGCACACAGAGAGACACAGCCCAACTCCAAAAGGGGGCTCAGCCAGTGTTCTCAGCGCAGGCGTGGCGGCCACCACTCTCAAATCTTGGCTTCACTACCCCCGGCAACGCTGTCATCACGTAGCACGCTCTTGACCGTGGCACGGTGAAGATCAAATCCAACTGGAGACCATGATGACAGTAAGAACAAAAACAGAATCGGATCTGGACAAAATACCAAACGGGGCAGTGAGCGATGCAAGTGGAGACACCTTGAGTCTGGAGTAGGAGAGAAGCTGGGACCCGGGGGTGGAAGGGAGAGGTCGTGAGGTCATGGCTGCTCCGCTTACAATCTCCAGGAGCTCCGTCTAAGTCACACACACACACAAATATATCCAGTATAGCTTCTAAAGGGTGATGGGGAAAGTGCTGTTAGCGAGCACCTATCATTTCAGATTACTCTTTCCTGAGGGGCCACTTTTGCCAACACCTGGAACAGGAGGGCATAGAAAGCATCTTACTCATTAGCTGTGTCTGGAGATCACGGAACAGACATGGGAGTTATGGGTTGACTGAGGTGACTGGTAGTTGCACCACCTAGTTTTCCCCCACTTTACCAACTTGTTTGTTTAATGTGAATATTGCCCAGTGCGTTTTCTTGACTCGTCTAGTGGTTCCTAACTTGTAATCCGAGGACCATTGGTGGTCGACAAGGCCATGAGAAATGGTCATAGAAATATTGCTGAGTGATTTTAATTCAGAAAAAAATGTTGGTGCATGGTGGTTGTAACTTTGTTTTGAAGGTTGACAGTCGTGCGCGGGTCCAGAAAGGTTGGGAGCCTCTGGACGAGGGAAATAGAATGCTGCAGGGTCAGCGATGTTGGCATTCAACTAAACCTGCAACTGTTCCAATTTCTGCAATGCGTATACAATATATGCACATATTCACATCCACACGCATGCACACGAGCACACACGCGTACACATGCATACATGTGCATACAAACACACAAGTCCACATTCACGTGTATGCAGGTACACGCGCACATGTATACATGCACAAAAATACACATCTCGTACACATTCCCATACTCACAGACTCGCATTCACATGTACTTGCACGCATTCACACCCACTCACGAGCCCACCAGCCACGTAGATACATTAATCACAAGCTCATGGGGGCCTCTTCAGTCTTAATATCGTTTACAAATCCCACAGTGACCCACGTCAACTGTAATTATACAAGATTAATCTTTTACACGGTTAACACTGTGATATTAATAAATAACACGAGAAAAGTTTTTGGGGGGAATGCTGACGCAGCACAAACAATAACTTCATAATCTATGGGACTTGGGTGGCATAGGGCCCACTTAAAATCCAAACACCCAATTGCGAACTATCACACCACCGGGTCTGCACTACTACACCACAGAGCCTGCATTACCACACCATTAAGCCTACACTATGGCACCAGAGACTGCACTACCATACCACCGAACCTGCACTACCACACCATTGGGCCTGCACTATCACACCACCGATCATACACTACCACACCATTGAGCCTGCAATATAGCACCACCAAGAAGCCAGTTCAGGCCACAACCAGGTAGAGGCAGTTACCACCATCCTCCCACCCCCTTCACACAAACAGCTGTGAAAACACTACAATGTTCACCCCCTCCAACCATCAGCTGAGCCAAGTGACCAAAGCGCAATAAGACCGGGTGCAGTGGCCAGTGGTGAATGGGAGAGGCGACCGCATCACGATCAGCATCATCAAACACATCAGTATCACCTTCAGAATTATTTTGTTGCTGATATACTCCACAACAGGGTAAATGATGCGATGCATATCATATGGTTTTCCATCGAAATAGGACCAATATCTAAGAGAGGGTCTTACCTTTGAACATCTCAGGGCATTTTATGAGCATTGGTGTCATAATTTTTACTCTGCTGATGACGTATGCCGAAAAGAATGCAGAATTTGTATTAAACCTAAGCTGCTGAAAAATGGCACTCCCAGGCCTGTGGCCTCCATGATGAGTAAAAATTACTTACATATTTTATGCATAGGGGCCGATATGGGAAGGAGGCAAATCGCCCACTCATTTATTTTCTCGCTATCATTGTTGGGTTTGTGCAGAACCGATGACGGCTTTGCTCTACAATTCCACCACTCTGCAGGGGGCAGCTTCGGTGACACGATCGCTGCACCGGCCCTGCACTGCATCAAATCACGGGCCTCGCCTCCGCAGGTCCACGCGGCATGGCCGTGCACACGGGAACATAGGATTAACTGCCGATACGAGACCCCCACTCGACTGCGCTCTCCGCAGGAATTCCTCTGGCAGGGGGGGGGGGCTGCCTTGGCCATGAGACGTGGGTGAGCACCTCACGCGCCCGCACCCAGTCAAGCGCCGCAACGGGCGCGCACGAAGGAGCCATCGGGCCGCACGTCAAAATGTGCGGCGTTGCTGTTCCCACGCCCAGTGGGAGAAGCAAGTGGGGGGGGTGGGGGGGGGGGGGGGTTTGGTGGGGGGAGTTGGAAGCACTAATTGGAAGCCAGAACGCGAAAAGGTACGGAGCTGAAACTTGACGAGGGCGCGCACCGCTTCCAGCAGCACCATTTCCTGCATGGGGAAGGCGAGGGGCCAAGTCGCGCTCTCCAAAGAAAATGCAGCAAGAACAGGGAAACTTAAAGTGTCAAAATGTTGCTGCAATCAGCACTATATTTTTTCATCCGTTTAGTGTCCAATTTTCTTTCCAAAGGTTACAAATGTGTACCTCGTTTTGCAAAGGCCAAGATTTTCGTCAGCTGTCGTAAAACGGTTCTTTGTGGTGCTAAGCACTCCATTAAGTTTGTGTTCTCGGCAAACATTTCATTGTGCTGGCGGTGCGCGATTTATGCAGAGTCAGGGCTAAATTCTGGCTCTACGGTCAAATGTATCAAATGCTCGCACAACACCGCACATAGAATGCATGCCAAGCCAGGCCGGCTACTTACGTCAGCAGCTACCTCGCCCTGCTTGCCAGAGCACGCGGAGGCCACTCATCCACGCAGAGGCTGTGCTGCACTCTCGTATGCTGTGCTATGCAGCACTATGCAGTGCAGATCCACACGTTGCTGTGCTGTCCGATTCTAGCATACACTACTGTACTGTACTGCGATATTCTACCACACCAAATTAAGCTGCTGTCGCACTGTGCCTTTATGAAGCCCTGGACTGGTGGGCACCTAATGGGGAGGCTATGGATAGTGGTCATGCACAGGGAAGGGTAGAGCTGGTGGTCACTCACAGCGAAGGATAGGGTTGGTGGTCACTCACAGGCAAGGGTAGGGTTGGTGGTCACTACCAGGGAAGGGTAGGGTTGGTGGTCACACACAGGGAAGGGTAGGGTTGGTGGTCACTCACAGGGGAGGGTAGGGCTGGTGGTCACTCACAGGGGAAGGTAAGGTTGGTGGTCACTCACAGGGAAGGGTAGGGTTGGTGGTCACTCACAGGCAAGGGTAGGGCTGGTGGTCACACACAGGGAAGGGTAGATCTGGTGGTCACTCACAGGGAAGGGTAGGGCTGGTGGTCACTCACAGGGAAGGGTAGGGTTGGTGGTCACTCACAGGGAAGGGTAGGGTTGGTGGTCACTCACCGGGAAGGGTAGGGTTGGTGGTTACTCACAGGGAAGGGTAGGGCTGGTGGTCACTCAAGGGGAGGGTAGGGTTGGTAGTCACTCAGAGGGAAAGGTAGGGCTGGTGGTCACTCACAGGGAAGGGTAGGGTTCTTGGTCACTCAAAGGGAAGGGTAGGGTTGGTGGTCACTCACAGGGGAGGGTAGGGCTGGTGGTAACTCACAGGTAAGGGTAGGGTTCTTGGTCACTCAAGGGGAAGGGTAGGGTTGGTGGTCACTCACAGGGAAGGGTAGGGTTGGTGGTCACTCACAGGGTAGGGTGGGTTGGTGATTACTCACAGGGTAGGGTAGATCTGGTGGTCCCTCACAGGGGAGGGTAGGGTTGGTGGTCACTCACAGGGAAGGGGAGGGCTGGTGGTCACTCACAGGGGAGGGTAGGGTTGATGGTCACTCACAGCGAAGTGTAGGGCTGGTGGTCACTCACAGGGAAGGGTAGGGCTGGTGGTCACTGCCAGGGAAGGGTAGGGTTGGTGGTTACTCACAGGGAAGGGTAGGGCTGGTGGTCACGCACAGACAAGGGTAGGACTGGTGGTCACTCACAAGGGAGGGACCTGGCTGGTGGTCTTGCACAGAGTAGGATACTGGCTGGTGGTTACTCACAGGGGAGGGTACGGGCTGGCCTATGTGGCGGTCTCCTTGCTTGGCGTTTCCCTTCTGGTAGGCCAATAGCACGTCTGCAAGGTCGAGGAGGTTGCCGCCCTTCAGAAGGGCCATGTACTCCTGCCGAACGGTGCCAAAGCGCTCCGGGGGGGTCTCTGCCCCCCATTTGGCCAGCCCCCCCAGTGCTAGCTTATCCTGGAAGATCCAGCGCCGCAGCAACAATGCTTCCCCCAGTGGTGCCTCAAACTCCCCTCCAGCCTTGAGACACAGGGACACAAGAGGCACAGAGACAGGGAGATAGTGAGTGAGACATGAAAACAGAGGGACATCGGGCATGGTTCACAGGCAAACTTATAATCACCAACACACCCACCACATTATACACCCCGATACATTTACTCACACATACTCACTCTCACATAGAGAAACCATCTACACATATGCACACACCTACCAACAACCGCCATTCGCCACTAAGTAGCGGTGACGTCCCCACGGCGCTTGTGCCAGGCTATGTGCACGTTGAAGCCACGTGAAGCCTCGAACGCCCGCTGGCAGGAGGTCACGGGGCAGACCCAGGTGCCACGGGTCGACTGACTGAAATGGCTGGCCGATGCGCCACCTGTGCCCCATCCTGTACCAACTTGCTGTGCTTTAGCCACCCGGCGCTCCGCTCATTATTATGAGCGTCGCTCCTCCACTCTCTGTTGTTGGAGGGCGACTGCCTCCAACTGCCCAGCGTCCTTCACGAGCCTCCTCCACAGAGGCCGATCTTGACACCGCTGGTACCAGTCATCGGCAAGTCCACTCATCCTTCACATCCTACTAGACACACATCTACAGACAACCATACACCCCTACACACAAACCACACTACACATACATCAAATTGTTGTTGTCCACGGGGTGGTGATGATGGTATCAGTAAGAGGCTGTCATGGTGGTGGTGTCAGTAGAAATATCTTGTAGAAGTGTCAGTTGGCTCTCATGGTTGTGCTGGCTGTATTGGCCACATCTGGTCCCGTTGGCCAGCTACCTGCTTGCTGAGTTGTGCCATCGCGAGCTGCACTGCCACGAGTGTGAGCGGCGGCCCAAGCAGCGTGCAGCGTTCCCACGCGCTGCGGCCCGGGCAGCATTGACGGAACCACGTGAGAAGCGCACGCACAGACTCCTCCGGCGAACACATGCTGCTCCTCCACACTGCACGCGTGAACACGCTGAGTTCAACACGTCCATTACACCAACACTATTGCACCCGTTTAGAATTTCTGCCACAGTTGCTTGATCTTGCAGTATCATTGTAATTTCAAATTCACTTTTGTCTTTGCATCCTCGGAGGACAAAATAACAGTTCGTTGCACTTCTAATATGCAGATGCACAAGGGCATCACCATTTGTTATCGCGTGATAAGTCTGCCATCTAGTGGCATGATCTGGAAATAACACTGGTATAAATTCTTTGGGTCTTTCGGTAAAGTGACGTCGATGGTTCAAAGAAAATAACAAAAACTAGTTCCAAAACCTCGTACACATGCTGGGATTTAGGAATCGGTGAGGCTCTCTTTTATAAATAACAAAAACGTCGTAGTTTTTTGTTATTTTCTTTGAACCATCTACGTGACTTTACCGAAAGACCCAAAGAATATGAATTCCTGCAGTCGCGAAAGCTTTAAGTCAACATTGGTACAAGTATCATGGTCATGCACATTCGCTTCAACATGTTGTCCAAAATCACATTGAGACCGGTTGCAGAATCACGAAGCCTCTCCTCATTCAAGTAGATTGAAATTCGGCCAGGTGGCTTAGCAGATGGGCGTACAGCTCGCAGTCGGAAGGATGCGAGTTAAAATTCTGTTTGGGAGCTGACGCAGCCCCATCATCCCACGGGAGGTTTGTGGAATTCCAAAACCTCGTACACATGCTGGGATTTAGGAATCGGTGAGGCTCTCTTTTATAAATAAATGCCATCGTAATTATCGTGGTTTATCCATTTCTCTTTGTCACTGATCCCATGTATGCCTTTGTCTCTGTCATCTCAGCCTCCAGTTCCAATGCCTGTCTCCCTCTGTCCCCACGTCCCAAGCTGTGTCACTGTCTCTCTTGCTCTTGAAGCTCGTCACCTCCCCTCGTGCTCTCTCCTTTCACCCTTCTCGAGCTCCCTTTGTGACTGTGCAAAGTGACTATGCACAGTCAACACACAGTCACTTTAAGATGTTTTTCTTGTTCGTGTTTTTGTTGTTTTTGTTTAGTTGCGATTGCACCCGATTCAAGAGCCGAATGGCTCACCAGGGCTATACCAAAATAAAAAAAAACTGAAAACTGTCTATCCGTCTGTGTCCACATGTTCCTCTGTACCTTTTTCTCTCGTGTCTCTCAGTCACTGGGTGTCTCTAACCGCGTGTCTATGTCTCTTGTGTATTTTTCATGTCTGTATCTCGCCTTATTTTTGTCTGTGTTCCCGTGTCCGTCTCTCCTTCTGTTCGTCTCCGTAACCCCGTGTTTGTCTCCCTGTACCTGTCTCCCACCGTGTGTCTCTCTGTGTCCTCATATGTCTGTCTATCTGGACCCGTCTCTCCTTGTGTCTCTGAGCCATATCTCCCTATACCTCTGTATATCTCATTCTCCCTGTATTTGTCCTTGTCTCTCTGCGTGCCCGTCTGTCACCGTGTCGATGTAGTAGCCTTGACCCCGTGTCTCTCTGTACCTGGATCCTCTCTCTGTCTCCGTGCTTTCGGCTGCATTCGGTTCTTGGATTCAAACGCCGGCGGCTCGAGCCCTGGCAGCCAATCGCGGCGCGTCTTGCCGTCCCACGTGACCCTTTCAACCATTGTGGAGTCATATTCTTGGTTCTTTCGGTAAAGTCACGTAGAAGGGAAACAATAAATATTTTATATATTTTATTATTTTATTGTTTCCGTTCTACGTGACTTTACCGAAAGAACCAAGAATATGAATCCCTGCAGTCACGAAAGCTTTAAATCAAAATTCATTGTGGAGTCGTGGAGGAGAGGCACGTTGCCGGTCCTCGTCGCTCATTGGACAACGTGGAGGTCACGTGGCACGTACAGGGAGGAGCCTCTTGATGTCATCAGAACGCGTTTGATGCGGGGAGCGAGCACGTGAGTCTGCTGGGTTAGTTTCTCCGCGTAACCGGTAATCGATTGAGAAAACCGGTTTGCCAGGCAAGGTAAACGTTTAAAGCAATACGCATACTGTATACGGTTAAATCTTGACTTGAAGCCTTCGTGACTGCAGGAATTCATATTCTTTGGGCCTTTCGGTAAAGTCACGTAGATTCAAAGAAAATAACAAAAAACTACGACGTTTCGATCGCAACGCAAGCGATCGTCATCAGGAGGATGCGACTTTACCGAAAGACCCAGAGAATATCAATACTGTATACGGTGTTTAACGTTATAACTGAGAAACGAAGGCAGCTGCCGTGGTGCATTGTTCAGCGCGCTAGCATTGCGATCCAGAGCGCGCCGGTTCGATCCATCCTCCCGGCACGGCAGGTGAAACGATGGGGGCGCGAGTTTCTTAAACTCCCTGGCACCGCTGGCTCTGCCCATCCAACAGCATAGATGGGTTCACTGCAGGTCACGTGGAAGAGTAGGCAGAGTACCCCCAGCCCAGCAAAACGCCCTCTAGTGCAGCTCCTCCGCCAGCAGTGGCGTGAGCGACTCGAGGAAGGTGTTTTACGAATTTGTATTTCACAGAAGCGTAAACATCAACAGGAGACTAAATTTTGATTTAAAGCTTTCGTGACTGCAGTAATTCATATTCTTAGCTCTTTCGGTAAAGTCACGTTGAAGGGAAATAATAAAATATATATAAAACAATAAAAATTCTCACGACGTTTCGACCATAACACAAACGTTGGTTTTCACACCTGATGATGACCGTTTGTGTTATGGTCGAAACGTCGTGAGAATTTTTTTATTTTATATATTTTATTGTTTCCCTTCAACGTGATTTTACCGAAAGAGCTAAGAATATCAACAGGAGACGTCATCCCTGTTGCGGCGCGATCATTGCTAACAACTTGGGGTGGGTGCCAGTTCACGACAGTGACACGACTGGACGTGTTAGAAGTTGGCCAAGTGGGGTGCAGAAGTGCCTTGTTCAGGATGGCACCGAGAGACGGGAAGAGGGACGTGTGCCTTAGACATATGCAAGGCACGTTTACAGTTCTGCTAAGAAGAGTGAGGTGGGCTTGGGCAGGACGTGTCACGGCTGGAAGGGGCGATGGCCGTGGCCGAGACTAACGACGAAGTGGCAGGCAATAGAACATCCACCGGGGAGGTGGAGCAATGAAAGGATGTTTAACACGTAGCAGGTTTTCGCAACGAATATCAATCGTAATATAGGATTTTTTGGGTTAGATCGCGTAAATAAAAATGCGTTGTGAAACCCGCCACAACTAGACAGCCAATTAGTAAGGGGGGGGGGGGGGGGGGTCAGACATTTGTGACGAGGGGGGGGAGGTTGACAAATTTGACGTCACATCAAAATGCGCAACTTTAAAAAAATATAGACAACACGTTCTACTTAATTAAATAGACTTTTTAATAAATGTTTTCTCCTACAACATCAGAATGCAGCGCCACATTAAATACGAACTACAATGACAATAGTTTAAAGCGATTTGAAGCATGTTTGATTTTTTTTTGGGGGGGGGGGGGTAGAGCTTTGTGACGTCATTTGAGGGGAGTCTGACTTTTTGTGACGCCGTGTGACGAGAGGGGGTCAAAAATCTGCCCAAATCACGTGACGTCATTTATGGAAGGCCCATAATTGCACTTGTAACAAATGCTATATTGGGCAGACAGGACGAATGATCAGCATGAGACTAAAAGAACACAACATAAATATGAAATACTCCCAAATACAACTGTCGGCAGTGGCGGAACACAACAGGGACACTCGATTTTGATAATGTTGAATTTCTGTCCAAAACTATCGAAATTGGGAGAATTACAAATAATTGTAACTGTTCGGACAGCTACAGGCTTAGTGCTACTTGGAAGCGAATCGTCAAATAATACATTGTTAAAATGTATGCCTATATAGGTCACCATACATCAATGGGGATTACGTGTCCGCAGCAGGGACGTGCGGTCAGGCGAAACAAGGGAGGCAGAGCCTCACCTGTCATACTCCAATGAAAACAGCTGTTACGAAAAGAAAATAATATAATAAATCTTAAGATTGTGCCACTGATCTGTGTTATAAATGTCATTTCTGTACGATTCAAATAATTTTTATTGTTAAAATCGCCAAATTTGTAGAGCTCCGCTGCAAATACAGGAAGAGACGAGAGGTGAGGCAGCGACGAGCTCAGCCTCCCCTCTGATTGTGCAACCCCTCAGTAACTGGATGGAGCGCGGGCAATAAGCCTGTTACTATCTCAGTATGTCACCAATGTAATGTTTGTAGACCCCTTCATTTCATGTCCTCGCCTTCCATACTCCAGGTAACAAGCATTTACGGCCTTCGGCCAGGAAAGTCCCGAACAACGCATTCACGCAAGCACCCGATGCTCCATTTTGAAGTTTTAAAAATAAACATCTTTGAATTGTATTATGTTTTGAATTAGATAATTGTACTTCTTCATTAAAAGCTTATATCATTTTACATCTGGAAGACTTAATTGGAAACGACATTTCGCGTGAATTTTCTCTCGTCGTTAAGTAGATGGCCTTGCTGGGGGGTTCGGTTCGATGCGGACTTTCACCTGTTTGGGATTGCGGGATCGAGATAAGGTGACATAGAGCTGGCCGTGCGAGAAGACCGCCGTCTGTACATAGATTCTAACGTGATCGAACGTCTGTCCCTGCGCCTCCGTCGTTCATGCAGGGGGCGCTTAGGTTTGCAGCGCCCCCTGCATGAAAACGACTGAAAGTGCAGCGTTCATCACAGATAAAGTTGTGCGCTATTCACGCAGCGGTGAATTAGCAAAAAAGTGGAAATTAGTTTTTAATAATGTATAATTTAACCACTTTAGGACATTTTTCGTTGCTTACCTGCCTCCTTCCCTTGCCCGTCTCTCTCCCTCGTCTGCGTGACCTGCCCTGCCGTGGGGGCGCGGCCGCAGGATGCCTGTCGGGGCAGGCGGTGCGTCCTGCGTGGTGCAGCTGGAGGAGCGCGTTCACGTCGTGGAGTTCAGTCCGTTCCCCCGCAGCGCTGGGCTCATCGCCGTGGGCTGCGGCGCTCTTATCACCCTCGGAGCATGCTCGCTGCAGGTGAACCACTGGGACGGCCTCCTCGTGAGGTGCAGCCTCTAATGGAGAGTTGGGTACAGTAGGGTACAGTATTGTTTTTTTTACAAAGTTGCTGGGCACAGTCACAAAGGCCCAATATGTCAAGTGATCAGCCACAAACGGCATGATCGCGTTCGTAATAGAAAAGAGTGTAATGCATTTTTTTAACTGATCAAGATTTTATATAAGAGTCTGTGAAGAGAGATGGTAGGAGGGGATTCACAAGTTGAGCAGTGCGAGGGAAGAAGCAGAAAGTGAGGTGACCTGCAGTCTGGTGAGTGGGTGAGCAAGTAGGTGAGTGAGTGTATAGTTGTGACCTACAGTTTCGTGAGTGAACACTTGACAAGTTATTTCCTGCTCAAATAAGCAATGAGGCAGTCCTCATCCCCGATTACATATGGTGGGGATGAGTCAATCCAGAGAACACCACAGTTGACTGCATTTTATTAACGCCCGGCTCAGAGCATGGCACGCTTCTCTAAGCGGCGAGTAGTGACCACGGGCATTAGGCTGTGTCACCCTCCCACGAACGTTCATGTCATCTTTCCCACACTCTACTTTGTGCACCCGCCCTCATACTCGCATTCATGCCCTCACACCCACGCTCACACCAGCATCCCCGGTCACAGCAGCATCCACGCTCTCCAAGTCTCACCCACGCTTCCAGACCCACGCTTCCACACCCACGCTCTCGCACCCGCACTTGCGCTCCGATAGCCACACCCGCACTCTCACACCCGCACCCATGCTCTTGCACTCTCACCTGCATGCTCACACCTGTGCTCTCACACCCGCACCTGCGTTTTCACACCCTCACCCACACTCATGCACCCGTGATTAACTTTTCCATGACCAGTGAACTGCTGAGAAGAGGGTGATTGGGCAGCGAGTCTCGTGTGTGACCTACATTTTTTTTAGTCCTGCGTTTTCTGTTATGAATTACATGCGTTTTGCGTTCGCCTGTATCCCTCGTGTGATGAGGTCATTGCTGTGGCCAAGGGGTGGTGCTTTGTGATTGGCTGGATGTGTGTGCTGTGCACGTCTCGTGTGGCTAACTGGTTTTGCGTACAGTGTGTTTCGTGTAGTTGGCTGGTTGTACGTATTGTGCGGTTGGCAGGTTGTGTATATTTTGTGTGTATTTTTTAGATCCGGCCGGGTGGCGCAGCGGAAGAGCGGGCGGCTTGCAATCGAATTGTTGTGAGTTCGTATCCTGGTTGGGGGTTTACTCGGCCCACTATTCCTCTGGGGTCACTAAAAGTGGGGAAGCAAACAGAGGTTGCCCTATGGATAGGTTCACCCCCGCCATAGGAATGTGCAATTTCCACCATGGGATCAGGGATTTAAGCAGGAAATGAGCACCAGTCCCATTCAAAGAGGAAATCACTTTTACTTTTGACTTTGATTGTATGGTTGGGTAGTTGTGTGTATTGTGCATGTTTATTTGTCTGGTTTGCATGGTGTGTGTATGACGTGTGGATTGTGTGGTGCTGCAGGAGGAAGAGGGTCTTGTGTTCACCCGCATGAAGTCCTACGAGGGTGGCGCTCGCGTGCACGCGCTCGCGTGGAGCCCTGACACGCACCTGGGTCCCCACCCCCAAATGATCAGGTACGGTGTCATTGCTCATCCTCTACCACCTCCATCGCAGTGACACTCAGACGGTGAGCAGGGTGCGTTGTGCGATGTGTGTGCCTTGTGCGATGTGGGGTGCGTCTTGCAGTGTCTGCAGTGTGTGAGTTGTGCGGTGTGCGTGCGTTGTGGGTGTGGTGAGTGTGCGGGATGTGCGGAGTTGGTGCGAGCATGGGGCCTGACAGCTGTGTTTGTGTTGGGGCGCTGCCGCCGCACTGCAAACTAATAAGGAGGGGGCGTGGTGGGAACGGGAGGGGGTGGGGGTCGACTGCAGTAACATGTGGTTTCTTCGGCTCCTCTTGATCTGGTGGCTGGTGAGGCAATAGCGATAGTGGGTGACACGGTGCGTTCATGTGTGTCCCGGAAACACCGCCGCCCTGGATATGGCATTAGTCAAGTGAGACTTGTCATAACTGATTCAGTAAGGGAGTTAAAGAAATGAAGCGGCATTAGTTAGAAGAGAGCTTGCGGGTGATCAGGACCACTCACTCTTAAGTCGATAGTAAAAGTAAAAATGTAACCGATAAGTAATAACATAACGTAATGAATACCAATAATGTAAAAATGTTTTTAATCAACATCAAAAGCAGAAATATACTTGCCTCAACGACAGACTGAAGTGCACCGAGCAATGAGAGTGATGATGTCATGCCTCGTAACCGTTGCCACGCCCACAGCGCTGCGGTCTCACAGGGACGTCCATCTTGCCTTTGAATTTTGACAATTTTTCTCTTTTTGTTTACTCTCGGATTTTACTACAATTGGAGCTGCCGGACTCATGATTAATTTTACGAACATCTGTACACGAGTTCCTGGATGTGGCATTGCCAGGGTGGGGCCTCGTAATGGTACCACCGGCACGTGGAGGCCTTGTGTGAGATCACTACACTGCTGCGGTGGTGCTTGTGATGCAGATGGACGCGTGGTCGTGTCTCTTGGTTCTCGTGGTGTCTCCTATGCCTCCTATGTTTCCATGACCAATGGGCAGAGCCTGCCATCTCCAGCACCAATGGAACATTCAGGGTAGCCCAATTGCGACTGTAGTCACCAAATCTCAAACCCTGGACTACACAGTAACGCCACTGCCGACTTTCATTGGGTGGCTGGGTGGCGAGGTGGTAACACTTGTGCCTTAGAGGAAGATATACCTGGGTTCGACTCATGCGCCTTTCTGTTGAGTTTTTATGTTATCTCCCAGTTCTGTATAGGTTTCCTCTGGATTTTCCGGTTTCTTCTCATAGTTAATAAAAGCATGCAATGTAGCTGCAGTATAACTGGTAGGGTGAAACACACAAAAGTAACTGGGCTCTTGCAGACTAGGAACGGCCCAGTTCTGGCCCGCAAACAGTACCAGGGCCCGGGCTGTAAGTTCCTTTGCTGCATGGCCCATGAGAGCCCATGGTGTTGGGACCTCCCGTCCCATCCATCTAGCCCCCTCCCCACCCTCCCTACGATCTGTATTTCACCTTCAAATACATTAATGTTGTAATATAATTGATTTTAAGCTTTCGTGACTGCAGGAATCCATACTCTTTGGTTCTTTCGGTAAAGTCACGTAGGTCGAAAAAATAATAGATAACGACGTTTCGATCGCAACACAAGCAACCGTCTTCAGGTGAAAAAGAAGGGGAATCTGCTGAGGCAGGCTGTTTATAAAGGTTTAAAAATGGGCGGGGCAGCTAATGTTAATGTAGGAGCGAGTAGGAGAGAGCGAGTAGGAGAGAGAAATTTGCTTGTAAATGTGAGCTCGGCGAGGGGCCGGAAATTTGCTTGTAAATGTGAGCTCGGCGAGGGCCGAGCTCGGCTAGGGCTCGTAAATTTGGGAGTCGGCTAATTATGGCAGGTAGAGAGGGAACATCAAAGCAGTTAAAACTTTACCTGGTTGATCACGTCCTTCCAATGATTGCTTAATTGGTATCCATTTTCTCGGTTGAAGTTATGTCTGTGTTTATGAATATGGATGGCTTCATGGACAAATCTTTGATGGTAGCCCGAAGGTTTGCAGAGTACCTTGGTCTTGGAAAAGACAATATCGTGCTTGAAGGTGGTCAGAGATGGTAGCATCGATAAACCCACATTATTTTCTCAGTTGATCCAAAACACAGATGCTGCACGCAACAATGTTTTTGAGTCTCATTGTAACGCAGCTCCCGGCTCGTTAGACGCATGCGCATCGTTCCGGACACTGGGACGCGGTCACCGTAGGAGGCGGTCAGAGGCATCGGCAAGATTGGTGCGTCATGCAGGTGATCCATCCAGAACGATCCGACTCATAAGGTTCAATGCATTTTCCATTCTCCAGCTCGGTGCATGAACCCAGTTGTCTGGAGCCCTGCGCATGCACAGATGGTCATGTGCAGACGTATGGATGTACACACACTACAACAACAACGAGCAGAGCACTGGGTGGCTAAACCACAGCAAGTTGGTACAGTAGGGGCACAGGTGGTCACGGGGCAGACTGAATGAGATGACTGGCCGATGCACCACCTGTGCCCCTACTGTGGCAACTTGCTGTGGTTTAGCCACCCGGTGCTCCGCTCGTTGTTGTGAGCGTCGCTCCTCTGCCCTCCGTTGTTATTGGAAGGCGACTGCCTCCAACTGCCCAGTAGCGTCCTTCACGAGACTCCTCCACAGAGGCCGATCTTGACACCGCTGGTACCAGTCATCGGCAAGTCCACTCACCTCCACATCATCTTGTACCACATCACGCCATCTCTTCTTTTTCCTGTGCTGGGCCCGTTTAGCCCCCTCTATCCGGCCGAACAAAAGCTGTTTAGGCATCCAGCCTAGTTAAACCCAGGATGAATCAAAGGCAGGCCAGCCTGAATGTTTATAACCAGCGCAGATGTCCCTTTAGTGGGGTCTACAGACACACACCGACACACACAGTATTACACTCACAGTCAGACACATACAGATATATTCAGAAACATGGACACAAAGACAGCACCCCACAACAACTGACTGCCAATTGGCGACGGAGAAGTCACAACAGCTCTACAGCTCTTGTGCCAGGCTAGATGCACTTTGAGGCCACTTTGAGAGATGCCTGCACACGAACGCCCACTTGTTCACCTCCGCGTGGCATGGCATTGCCGCCTTCCCAACGTAACCCTAGCCTGGCTAGCGGTCCGGAGCGCCCGTAATCCCACAGAGAATATCTTTGCTGGCCTACGAAGGACATAATAAACTTGGAATATACTGCCGCGGAGGATAAACGTGCACTGTGCATATGTAATAGCTCTTTCCCCCGCCCTTTCTAAAAGCACAATGTGCCTTTGTGAGCCATATGAAAAAGGTGCGAGTATTTTATAACTCCGGTGATTAATTTATTCAAAGCAAACACATCTGTTACACGATGGAGCCCGAACTAAACTTTTGTTTCTCCAAAGAAAACACTTTTTTTCTTGTGTTATTTTATTTTTTTATCCAGCATTAGCAACCACCGGGCCTGTGTTGTGGCCGCGTGGCGGGTGGCGTGGCACCTGCGGGAGAGGTCGGCAGGGTCAGGTGGCGCTGGTGGGAGTAGGGGGCGTGCAGGTGCGCGCCGTGGCTCCCCCGAGTGTGCACGGTTCCCAGGCTCGGAGGCCGAGCAGCACGACCTTGGGGCCAACGGCAGTGGCATTTGGGTGGCACGTTGGGAGGGTTGGGTGTGGACGTCCTTTGTGGGTGGTGGGTGATGGTAGGTGGTTGTGGTGGTCCCCATGTAGGTGGTTGTGGTAGTTCTCATTTGGGTGGTGGGTCGTGTGCGTGTGGTTGGGGGAGTTCTCATTTGGGTGATGGGTAGCGTGTCCGTGGTTGGGGTAGTTGTCATTTGTGTTGTGGGTAGCGTGTGTGTGGTTGGGGTAGTTCTCATTTGGGTGGTGGGTAGCGTGTGTGTGGTTGGGGTAGTTCTCATTCGGGTGGTGGGTAGTGTGTGTGTGGTTAGAGTAGTTCTCATTTGGGTGGTGGGTAGCGTGTGTGTGGTTGGGGTAGTTCTCATTCGGTTGATGGGGGGTGTGTGTGTGGTTGCAGTAGTTCTCATTTGGGTGGTGGGTAGTGTGCGTGTGGTTGCAGTAGTTCTCATGTGGGTGGTGGGTAGTATCTGTGTGGTTGGAGTAGTTCTCATTTGTGTGGTGGGTAGCGTGTGTGTGGTTGGGGTAGTTCTCATTTGTGTGGTGGGTAGCGTGTGTGTGGTTGGGGTAGTTCTCATTCGGGTGGTGGGTAGTGTGTGTGTGGTTGGAGTACTCATTTGTGTGGTGGGTAGCATGTGTGTGGTTGGGGTAGTTCTCATTTGGGTGGTGGGTAGCGTGTGTGTGGTTGGGGTAGTTCTCATTCGGGTGGTGGGTAGTGTGCGTGTGGTTGGGGTAGTTCTCATTCGGGTGGTGGGTAGTGTGTGTGTGGTTGGAGTAGTTCTCATTTGGGTGGTGGGTAGTGTGTGTGGTTGGAGTAGTTCTCATTTGTGTGGTGGGTAGCGTGTGCGTGGTTGGGGTAGTTCTCATTTGTGTGGTGGGTAGCGTGTGTGTGGTTGGGGTAGTTCTCATTTGGGTGGTGGGTAGCGTGTGTGTGGTTGGGGTAGTTCTCATTCGGGTGGTGGGTAGTGTGCGTGTGGTTGGGGTAGTTCTCATTCGGGTGGTGGGTAGTGTGTGTGTGGTTGGAGTAGTTCTCATTTGGGTGGTGGGTAGTGTGTGTGGTTGGGGTAGTTCTCATTTGGGTGGTGGGTAGTGTGTGTGTGGTTGGGGTAGTTGCCATTTGGGTGGTGGGTAGTATGTGTGTGGTTGGGGTAGTTCTCATTTGTGTGGTGGGTAGCGTGTGTGTGGTTGGGGTAGTTCTCATTCGGGTGGTGGGTAGTGTGCGCGTGGTTGTGGAAGTCCCTGCGCGGGTGGCACTTGGTTGGGGTAGCGGTGCCGTGGGCCCTCGCCTGCCCCCGTGCTCCCTGGCATGCTAAGCAGCCGCTAAGCTGAACCAGGTGTGCTTACAGTACGGAACTCGGCAAA